AAAGAAAGAAAGAAAGAAAGAAAGAAAGAAAGAAAGAAAGAAAGAAAAAGACAAAAAAAAAAGGTATGGGGCTGGAGAGATGGCTCAGAAGTTAAGAGCACTGACTGCTCTTCCAGAGGTCTTGAGTTCAATTACCAGCAACCACATGGTGGCTCACAACCATCTATAATGAAATCTGGTGCCCTCTTCTGGCAGGCAGGTGTACATGCAAACAAAACATTGTATACATAATAAATAAATATTCAAATTAAAAAAAAATAAAGTAGCCACAAAAACAAGGCCAATGTCACAGTACTCCCAGTGAGGTTTTGGAACTACTTGATGACTATATTGAGAGACGTTTAAACTTATTTAACATATCCTCCCACCCATAATCATCTTTCTGACGGAAGGAATTCATTACTGATGAATTCGAGTGGAATGGGTTCTCTTGTACTGGCCAATGGGCCTGATAACTAGGAACCTTCTTGAAAATAGAGAAGCCAGTTTGTATCCAGAGCTCCTAAAAGTTCAGAACTTTCAAGACAACATCTCACATTTTAAAGACAGGTTCTGGCATAGTTCTGACTGGACGCAAGCTTGCTATGTGGGTGAGGATGATCTTGAACTCCTGATCCTCCTGCCTCCACTGGTCCCCCCTTATTCCTGATTATTTTCTCAGTTCCTGGATTTATTCGTCCTTTGTTACTAGTTTTATGAATCCACTAATTTATCCTTCTTTACCTTTGTTTTCCTTCCGTGTTCATGTTTGCTTTTCATATTTTGATTTTTGAGGGAGGGCCTGGAAGTATTGCTCAGGCTGTCCTGGAACTCACTGTCTAGTCAGTCCCCTAACTCACCACAGTCCCTCTGCTTCAGTCTCGTAAGTTCTGGGATTACAAATATTCACCACTATGCCCGAGTAATTTTTGTATTTGTTTTAACTCTTCAGTTGGATATTTCTCTTACTATGCTTTTATCCCCATATGAGCCCTGCCCCAGCTGCATCAAATAAAAAAAAAAAAAAAAACTACAGATAGTTTTTTACTGTGTCTTTATTTTTTAGATATTCTGCCACTCGGTTTTGAGTCTCCCTTTTTCCTGATATTCACTGGGGACGTTTACTTTTAAAATGTTTTAATTTCATGATTTCCTCCTTTTTGATTGCTGAGTAGTATTCCATTGTGTAAAAATACCACAATTTCTATACCCATTCCTCCGTTGATGGACATCTGGGTTGTTTCCAGGTTCTGGCTATTACAAATAAAGCTGCTATAAACATGGTTGAGCAAATATCCCTTTTGTGTACTTGAGCAAACTTTGGGTATATACCTAGCAGTGGTATAGCTGGGTCTTGAGGAAGCACTATTCCTAATTGTCTTAGAAAGCGCCAGATAGATTTCCAGAGTGGTTGTACCGGTTTACATTCCCACCAGCAGTGGAGGAGGGTTCCCCTTTCTCCACAACCTCAAATGGTGGGATCTAGAAAAGATCATTCTGAGTGAAATATCCCAGAAGGAGAAAGACAAACACGGTATATACTCACTTATATAGACCTATAAGATATGATAAACATAATGAAATCTATACACCTAAAAAGATAATCAAGAGAGCGGACAAGGGGTAAGATGATCAATCCTCGTTTAGAAAGACAGATGGGATGTGCATTGAACGTATGACAGGAGTCTACTGAGCGCATTTGAAAGACTCTAACTAGCAGTGTTTTCAAAGCAAAGACTCATGACCAAACCTTTGGCAGAGTACAAGGAATCAGAAGAAAGAAGGGGAGTTAGTCTGATGGGGAAAGGATAGGAGCACCACAAGGACCAAATATATCTCGGCACAGGGTCTTTTCTGAGACTGACATTCAACCAAGGACCATGTATGGATATAACCTAGAACCTCTGCTCAGATGTAGCCTGAGGTAGCTCAGTAACCAATTGGTTTCCCATAGTGAGGGGAACAAGGACTATTTCTAACAGGAACTCAATGACTGGCTCTTTGGCCTCCCCACCCCCCAAGGGAGGAGCAGTCCTATTAGGCCACAGAGGAGAGCTTTGCAGCCAGTCCTGAAGATACCTGATAAAACAGGATCAGATGAATGGGGAGGAGGTCCCCCCCTACCAGTGGACTTGGAAAGGGGCACAGTGGAGATGAGGGAGGGAGGGAGGGACTGAGAGGGAATGAGGGATCGGGACACGGCTGGGGTACAGAGTTAATAAAATGTAACTGATAAGAAAAAAATAAAATTCAAAAAAAATAAAAAAAGAAAAACAAATAAAATAAAATGTTTTAATTTATATTTTCACTTTACATTCCAATCGCAGCCCCCTCTTTCCTCTCCCCCCCCCCACGTCTCTCTCCTTAGAAAAGGGGAGTACCCCCACCCTTCACCAACCCACCCCAGCACATCATCCGGACTGAGCTCATCCTCATCCACTGAGGCCAGGCAAGGCAGCTCGGCAGGGGGAAGCGACAGAAAGCAGTCAACAGGGTCCGTGTGATAGACAGCACCTGCTCAAATCACTAGGGGACGGACAGGAAGATTAAACTGTCCATCGCTACACACGTCCAGTCCTTGCGTGGTCCTCGGCTGACGCTTTCGTCTCCACAAAGCCCCCCATGGGTCTAGGTTAGTTGACTCTGTTGGTCGTCTTGTGGCGTCCCTGTCTCCTCCAGGTCCTTCCGTCATTAACCCGCACACCCCTAGGCCTCCAGGATCTCCACCCAGTGCTTGGCTGTGAGACCTCTCAGAGAACCTTTATGCTAGGTTCCTGTCTTGAGAGGTGCAGTTTGAAGTTCTGTGTTTGTAATGTAGACTTGGCTCCGCCCCTCCAGATGCAGCACAGATCCCACGCCCAAGCCGCCCAACCTGCCAATCGGTGCCTTTGAAACACCCAGTTCTGTGATTGGCTGTTGCGGAGACGCCCACCTAGACTTCGGGGCTACGGTGGCCGACAGGGGGCAAGACGCTTGCGCAAGGAGGGAAGCTCTCAGGCGTTAAGCAAGCAGTTTTGAGTGTCCGAGTGGGCTGTGCGGAGATGGCGGCGGCGGCGCTGCTGGCTGTGGTGGACAGGAACCATTTGCGGCGGGTCCCGATCTTGCTGCTGCAGCCAAGGTGACTGTAGGGGCAGCGAATCAGTGCACAGGCTGCCGGCCCGTGCGCGGCTGGGCTGCGGGGCGCGGGGTCACGCGAGCTCTCCTTTGCGTGTCTGCGTGTAGTTTAGATTGACGCGGTCTCACGTCAGCTCTCCGCTTAGTCCCGCGTCCCGCCGACGTTGGCTGGTTTCTGCTCTGAGCTCGCGGGGCTGGGCACCCCGCACTCTGCTGTAACCGAAGATTGCACAGCTAGAGGCGTGGGCTAGGACGCCTTCCAAAGCCCCTTTCCGCTCAGCTCCCCCATCTCGAGTGCAATGCAAAGGATTCCTGGATAGCTTTCCCATTGCTGGAAAAAAAATCAAATCAACGAGAGCTGAGGAGTTTTGTCGAACGCTCTTGTTCAAGTTTGGCAGATGACTAACTCGTATCCCAGATCGTTTTGGAGATGAAGCGCCACGCTTTGGGGACAGTAACTTCTGCAGTGAAAACCCCGGCTCTTAGGTTGCTTCATCATTACCATCACCCTCCCGCGTTCTAAGAGACGCGCCGGTCCAAGGGCAAGAGCTGCGGGCGTAAGGCTGGGTCCCCAGCTTAGCTGCTCACCACACCTGTGACCTTGGCCGAGTGACCAAGTGATATCTGAGCTTCAGTTTTTTTCTCCTAGGAGAGGGTGATGATGCTTGTATGTAGGGAGATGGTTTCAAGACGATACCAGGCCTCTCGTTTGTCCAAATCAAAACGTAGATAAAAATTTAACCAGCTTATGGTCCATTCAACAAACAGTGATCGATGCCCAGATTTTCAGTGAATACTAAGACGCCGTATATAAGAAAGATGGTGAAAGTAGTGTTACTGCTGTTTTATTCCTTGTGACTTTCCTTAGGTTTCCAAGTACTATCACAGACTCATTCTCTTCTCTCTCAAAGCTTACTCACAGCTCTCATTCCTACTGATGGTTTTTAGAATTAAAAATCTTACCAGCATGAAAATTTTAGTGTTTTTTAAAATTTTGCCAGCCATGACTCCTCTACCATCTCAAAGAAAAGAATCCCCAGTCGTAACATTCTACGCTTGAGAATAGAAGCTGTCTGAATCACTGTGATCTCTCATGGCAGGAACTTACTCATCTTGTTGAAACGTTTTAAAAGGTAGCAAAAATAACTGAAAGAATGGAATAAAGCAATCGTAATGTCGGGATAGAGGATTACAGCTCTAGGCTGGAAATTTTTTTTTAAAGGATGGGGGGGGGGAAGATAAGCCTTCCTTCTTGAAGAGCAAGAATGTGAGGTGGGATGCATTGGAAAGAGTTGAGAGAGCATCAGTCTCCTGGGGAAGCCATGTGCCAGCTTTCATGCCAAAGATGTGTGTCTTCCCTCTTCCCAGTCGGCTTCAGAATGACAGCGTCTGATTAAGCGTGCCTCCTAGGACGCTAGTGTGTACAGTTCCTCACGTGACCCTTGGGAGATACCAGTCCTGCTGGCTGCTTACTCACATGCAAAGGGTGTGTGTATGTTGCCTCCGTCACCTACTATCTAATGTATAGTATGACCTTTGTGCTTTGAGAAGGAGCTGAGCTCATCGGTCTATATATAACCGTGCTTTTGCTTGGGAAAACTGTATACTTTAAAACCAAAAAGTATCCCAAGATTGCCTCTTACAACCTAGGAACTATAGGTTAAGCATGTGGCTACCATGTTTGTGGCCCTCAAAAACTTAAATTCATCTACTTGTAAAATGTATTCCTCACTGTATAAGTTTTCTCGTGGAGGGGGTATTAATGAAAAAAGACTAGAAACCCCAGTGCGGAGTGATCTGACCGAGCAAGTGGATGTTGAAGAGTAGGAGGTGGGGACTAGGCCATAGCCAACATTTCTTATTTCTGTTTTCCTTTTTCAGCTTTCTTCCCTTGATTTCTCTGGCTTACTGTCAAAGCTGTTTTATCAGGAGCTTGCATTCAATTGTATTTTCAAACTGTAGTTTGGTTATTATATTTGATTTAATAAAATACAACAGAAAGCATCAGAATGCAGTTTGTCATCCTCCACGACAATTCTAATTGTGTGTATGCTGGGTAGTTTTTACTGTTACCTACGGGCCAACCAAAGGTTTTTAAACAGCTGAGGTAGCTGCTTTAAAGAGTCTTAGCTTTTTAATTGTCTCTCTGGCCATATAGCAGCTTTGAGTATTAAACAGGATAGGGAACTCATTCAAAGACATGAGCACAAAGGGAAACTGGCCAGACTCAATCTCACAGGCTCTAGATAGGTTTTTTTCCCACAGTCTTACTAAATCACTTTGCTAATGGGCTTAAGGTTAACCTTCCACTGTGTCTGGACTTGTTTGTACGTTTTGAAAGAGCAGTAGCTGATCTCATGTATTCTGATGGATTATAACTCTGTCTGAATTTATATTACAGGGAATGGGCTTGGAAACAGAGAACCATGAAGTATGGAACGACCTCAGGTACTGGCAGACTTTAGCTTTGCTTTAGAGTGTGAGCCAAGAAAAAGAAATGTGTAATCTTTAATTGGTGCACAAGAGAATTAGCGCTCATAAACCTTCATACTTCTGCATTGTCACAATAACTTTCTTATTACTGTTATGTCACCAGTTTTGCTTTTTTTGTCAAATCCTTTTTGCTATTAAGTGTGATTTTTAAAAATATTTATTTATTTATTCACTTTATATCCTGGTCATAGCCTCCCCTCTCTTTCCTCCCAGTCTCACCTGCCCTCCCTGTTTCCCCTATCACCCCTCCCCTGCTACTTAGAGAGAAGGGAGCTCCCCTACCCACCCACTCCGGCATGTCAATTGGCATCAGAACTGAGTGCATCCTCTTCTCCTCTGGCCTGGCAAGGGAGCTCCAACAGGGGAAAATGATTGAAGAGCAGGCAACAGTGTCCAAGTCAGTGTCAGCCCCCATTTCCCTTACTAGGGAACCCATATGAAGACTGAGTTGCCCATTGGCTATATCTGTGTAGGGGGCCTATGTCCAGTCCATGCCCAGTCCTTGGTTGGTGCTTCAGTCTCCGCAGGCCCTTCTGGGCTCTCGTTAGTTGGCTCTGTTAGTCTTCTTGTGGAGCTCCTGTCCTGAGTCCTTCCATTCTTTCCCTTATTCTTCCACAAGACTCCCTGTACTGAATGTTTGGCTATGGGTTTAAGTGTACATTTTGATGTGCAATGATGGAGAACATCTTAAATTAATTGTTTGTTTGCTTGTTTGTTTTTTCAGACAGGGTTTTTCTGTGTAGCCTTGGCTGTCCTGGACTCGATTTGTAGACCAGGCGGGCCTTGAGCTCACAGAGATCCACCTGCCTCTGCCTCCCTGAGTGCTGGGATCACAGGTGTGCGCCGCCATGCCTGGCTCAATAATGATCTTAACTTTCCAGGAGTTTGGGAACTGGGGAAAGAGTATTTGTGGAAAGAAGATCTTGGCTTAGACTCTCCGATGCTAGGTTGACAAGGAGACAGACTTTCAAGTGGAAGTTGACTGTAGAGAGTTAGAAACATAATGCGCTGGAGCCACTGAGTGCAGATGCTACCAGCATAGAGGGGATGACATACATGTCCTAACCCCTTCCACAGGAATGTCATACAGTATGTTTTCTTAAGCTTTATTTTTCTTTTACTGAGTAATTTGAGTTTTCTTTAATAGAGGACTTTAGTGAATAGAAAAGAAATCTACTCTCTGATAATAAAATTGTAATCTTAGCCTTTGGTATGTAGTTTTACCAAAGCAAACCCTTAAGACCTGACTAATAACATATTTTATTTCCTGATAAAATTTGTGTCTTCTCCTCATGGATTTTTGACAGGAAGAAGCATTACGAAGGTCCTCATTGCAAACAGAGGAGAAATTGCCTGCAGGGTGATCCGAACAGCCAAAAAAATGGGCGTACAGTCTGTGGCTGTTTACAGTGAGGCTGACAGGAATTCCATGCATGTAGATATGGTATGTTGTAAAAAGCTGGAAACAATGTCTTGTTAGTGATCGCTTGTATTTGCTTTTGTGTTCAGTTTAGTTATTTAACTTTTACTTTTATTTCATGTACATTGGTGTTTTGCCTGTGTGTATGTCTATATGAGTGTGTCGGATTCCCTAGGACTAGAGTCATAGACAACTGTAATCTGCCATCCGGTGCTGGGAATCAAACCCAGGTCCTCTGGAAGAGCAGCTAGTGCTCTTAACCACTGAGCCATCTCTCCAGCCATGGTAATGATTAAGTTTAGTTGTAGACATTGCATTTTTAATTTTTTTAAATTTTTATTTGTATATTTATTTATTTGAAACAGGGTTTCTCCCTGTAGCCCTGGCTGTCCTCGAACTCAGAGATATCCACCTGCCTCTGCATCTGAGTGCTGGAATTAAAGGAGTGTGCCACTATTGCCTGGCTCAGTTTAGTTCCTTATGATGACGGTTGATGCTTGCTATTGTGAACAAGGTATATGTAGGTAGGTTCCAACTACTCACTTTTAAGATGTAACACTAGTTGAACTAAACAGCTTGTTTAGTTGCATAGCTGAGTAACAGGCAAGGTACTTGATCTCATCAAGGACTGCTTCATCCCAGATGCATGATATGAAAGGACAAAAAGACCGAGACACTGTTGTTAGCAGTTGTCACCTACTGGCGTGAGCTACCTTAGACAAGTCACTTGACCTTTCTGACCTTTAGTTCATCAGTAAATTCCCAGCTAACAACACCAGCTCCTTCGACATTTGTGTTTCTAGTTACTGCCAGTTCTTGTCTGCCAAGGGGAGCTCTAGCAGGGATGAGCTCAGCTGCCGACTCTCTTCAGGCCCGCAGAAGGACTGTATGCATCTGTTGGAGTTCCTGTTCCAGCTTCAGATGGCTTCATTTTAACCGTAGTAAATGACTTCCTCTTGTTAGAAATAAGATTCCCTGCTGCCTTTCAGGCCACCGAACCTTCTCCTTTCTCTGTGTCCTTTTGTGGATCCCACCTACCTAGATTTAACCTTTGATGACGAAGTTTGGTCATATGAAAATTTAAGGGGTAGTGTAGGATAATCCACAAATTATGAGTGATTATATAAACTTTATAAGATTTTCTTGCTACATATTTCTGTTAATGTAGTTTGTGTCTGCCTTCAAATTATAACTTTTGGCATGAATTACATTTAAGATCATTGTAATGCTGTGATGGAGTCTAGAATGTGGTTTCTTAGGAAAAATTGAGATTTGCCTCTCCTTACCTGCGAGATTGAGTTCCAAACTGGCTGCGCCTGCTTCTACATCCTTGCAGTTTCCACGTCACCGTCACTTCCTTGTTGTGCCCATCCCTGTATTGTTTATAGTAATTGAGGCTGATAAGGCTCCATGGCCGATACGCGTGCAAACTAGGCGTGCTGTCTCTAACAGGCAGATGAAGCGTACAGCATTGGCCCTGCCCCATCCCAGCAGAGCTACCTCTCCATGGAGAAAATCATTCAAGTGGCCAAGAGCTCTGCGGCACAGGTAGGACCTGAGAGACTTCACAGTGCAAAGCAAGCAAATGTTGTATACTTTATGCAGAATTACTTCTTTGTAGACAAGTTCTCTTTTCAGCTGGTTTTTGCATGTGATTATTTGTTATCTCTGTAAGCTGCATTTGTTCCTTCTCCTTCCTCAGCCTTCTCACTGAGCCCTCTGTATTGGCAGAGGGAGAATGTAAACTATACATTAGAATTAAGGAAATAGAGTTCTCCTTGGAATCTCAAAATTTTGAAGTTAGGCCAGTTTTGCACAAAAACAATAAGCAAATGCTTCTTCCCAGGCTACAGCCCTTTGCTTTCCCTAAGAACAATGTTTTTTTGTAAGTTGAAGTGTGGATTGTTCTGGGGTGGGGGGGATGGGAAAAGGCACTTGTTGCCACACCTGTCAACCTGTTCGGTTCCTGAACCTGCTAAGTGGAAGGAGAGAACTGACCCTTCCAAATGGTCCTCTGACCTCCACATGCCCCCACACCCCCCACACACTGACAAAGAGAAAGAGGTACTAACAGCTGTTTAATAACTATTGCTATCACTTAACCTAAAACATATCTTCAAATAAAAAAGGAAAAGTATGCTTTAATTATGTTTTTAAATTTAATTTATAATGAATAATAGTCACTTCTTGATTTACGCATTTTTCAAGTTGTTATTAAAAACTTAAAAAGATTTGTATAAAAGTCAAAACCCAAGTTAATGTGTCTATAAAGATATGTTGTTCTAGAGACCACCATAAAATTCATTAATTCCACTTTAAAGTTTCACTTATGTACATGTTGATTCCACTTTAAAGTTTCACTTACGTGTGTGTGTGAATATATGTGTATGTTTGTATGTACATATGTGTGTGTTTGTGTGTGTGTGCATGTGTATGTGTTTGTTGTAGGGGTTGAGAGCTTATGAATGTGGAAATCAACTTTGTGGAGTCTGTTTTCTTCTTCTGTCTTTTCTTGGCTTTCAGGTATCAAGCTCAAGTTATCAGGCTTTCTGTGGGCACCTTACCCACTGAAACTTCTCACTGCCCTATTCATTGCTCTGCTAGGTGTATATCAAAGAATTTATAGCAGGGGCTCATACTTGTACACCAACATTCACAGTCACATTATTTATAGAAGATGAAAATTAAAAACAACTCACATGTCTGTGAACAGATTAGTGGATGAACAAATGTGAAATTGCCTTAAAATGAATGAAGTTCTGGTTCAAGCTGCCACATGGATGAACTTTGAAAACTCATAGAAATAGAAGGGGAAGTAGTGGTTGCCAGGTCACAGCAATTATGTCAGAGTGATAATATCTTGACAGGTGGTAGTGACAGTGGAAGAGCAATGTCTGTGAGGATCACATGCTTAACACTGCTGAAGCTGGTACCTTGTCGGTTTTTACTGTGTTTCTCATCACTACAGTGAAAGATAAAGGCTGAGGGTGTAACTCTGTGGTAGACAATTTGCCTAGCACATGGGAGGGGTTTGATGTTAAAAAAAGAAAACAAAGTCATGTTTTTTTTCTGGTGCAAAACAGGCTTCAAAACTTCAATATGAATGTTCCAGACATTGCTTTGGGAGCAGGTTATGACAGAGACCTTGGTGTCTCTGCAGCCTCATCTGGAGAGGTCTCATGAGGGCAGCATTGCTAGCACCAAAGCTTCGCCAGCCGAGAGCCAGCTAGTAAGGTAGTTGTGCTTCCTCTCCCTTGTAGGCCATCCATCCAGGATATGGTTTTCTTTCAGAAAACATGGAATTCGCTGAACTGTGTAAACAAGAAGGAATTATTTTTATAGGTCCTCCTTCCTCTGCAATTAGAGACATGGGTATAAAGAGGTAAGCAGTGTAAGGCAAATTGAAGCAGTCTGTTTTATCACAGCAGGTGTTTTTGAAATTAAATCGTATTTGTTATTACGTGTGTGTGTGTGTGTCTGTGTGCATGCACGCAAGCGTACACGTGCTTGCGTTCCACCTTTCCATGGGTTCTGAGGACCACACTCAAGCAGTCAGGTTTGCAAAGCAAGCACTTTACCCACGGAGCCATCTTGCCAGCTCCATTAAAAGGCATTTTAAATTATACTCATTTGTTGTCATCCTTCTGACACGTAGGGGAATTCCACTGAATTTTGGAAAATAAACAAGTAATTGTATTGTAAATTCTTAGATATATATTAGTTGTCTGGGGTTAAAAGATGGTGGGATGGGCTACCACCTGAAATAAAGGGCAACTATGTACCAAGGAATTTAGTGTGGGTGTTAATGCTCGTTCCAGACTGAAGTCCTTTCTTTACCTGTGGGATGGGTTTTTTTTTAAGAGTTATGATTTATAGCTATCATAAAATTGGGTCATCTTGGTGTTCCTACTCTAAAGTACCTCCAAGTCCATCATGGCTGCTGCTGGAGTACCTGTTGTGGAAGGCTACCATGGCAAGGACCAGTCTGATGAGTGCCTGAAAGAACATGCTGGGAAAATCGGGTATCCTGTTATGATCAAAGCCGTCCGTGGTGGAGGAGGAAAGGTAAGACTGTGGGTACCTACCCCTGCCAAACCTGGCTAGAGGTCTGTGTTTATGTGGTGGTCACTCGGCTCTTTCTTTTCTAGGGCATGAGGATCATTAGATCAGAAAAAGAATTTCAAGAGCAGTTAGAATCAGCCCGGAGGGAAGCAAAGAAGTCTTTTAATGATGATGCTATGTTGATTGAGAAGTTTGTGGACACGCCAAGGTCGACTGTTGGTTTTTTGTTTCTGTTTCTGTTTTTGTTTGTTTTGTTGTTTTAATGCATGTATATGCTGTAAGATATAGTGTTATAACACTGTATAAGCTCTTGAAGTTCCCCGCTTGAACCTCTGTGGTCATGGGTTACATACGTGTAGTCAAGTATGCTTGCTTCTACACAGTTTTTTTAATGCTAATAGAAAACTCATGCATGAAAACATAAGAAACAAATATGTCCAAAAGAAAAGTGGATAGAATCATTTCTAACATTATAATGTTATACAGCGATATACCACAGGCGTCTTTCCGTATTAGTAAATAATGAAAACTGTCTTAGTACCTTTGTACAAGACAGAATGGCCCTGTGACATTGATGTCCCAGAGTATGTTTGTTACGGGTGACGCTTAGGGTTTTCTTCCAGTATAAATGTGTTCTTCTAAGAATCCCCTGTACCTACAGAGCTCTACGCATTGGTTGAGAGATTCAGAAAAACGGAGCTTGTTAATTAGCTAGCATCCATTATGAAGATTTCTGTCATCGTTGTGTGATATTTTAACAGGTGGTGACCCCTGTGGCCTAGACTAACCATATGGCAGATTCTGTTTTTCATATTCTAGGTAGTCTTATGGTCCTAAGCCTAACAAAGTTCCCCAGATATGTACTCCTGCTTTCAGTTTGTGCACCAAGGCACTAGGCCATAGAGTGAAGCTGGGATCTGAAGGTAGGCAGTTTGACCTCAGAGTTCACATTCTAAACCATTGCACTGAGGTGTGTCTTTAAATACCTCCATAGAAGGCTCATAGATTACCAGCTTTTTCCCTTTTTAAAAATAAGATAATTATTGTAAACTTTCCCACGTCCTAGATATAAAAAAACCTTTTAGACAAGTGGAAAGAACAATTCATTTGTGAACCATGGATAGAAAGGCTTTATCTTGCAAGCATTGAAGTTGAAACACTAAGATCTTTCCTTAAAAGAAAGTCCGGAACGGACTCTTTTCTTTTTTTTTTTTTTTCTTAACATTATGTTCTCTTAGGGCCCTGACTTGTTTTTGGTTTTGTTTTCCACCTTTTAAAAGGTGGAACTGGGGTCTGGAGAGATATCTCAGCAGGTAAGAGCACTTGATGCTCCTGCAGAGGACCCGAGTTTAATTCCCTACACCCACATGGCAGCTCACAACCATCTGTAACTCCAGTTCCAGGGATCCAAGGCCCTCTTCTGGCCTCTATAGGCCAGGTACCAGGCATGCGTCTGCTGCATAGACATACATACAGGTAAAACACCAGTACACATAAAACAGAAATAAGTTTATCTTTAAAAAAAATAATAGAACTATACCTGAGCATGACACAATAAATGAAATTTATTAATTGCAGTTTGATAGTTAAAAAATCAAATCAATTCAAAACAGATCAGTAATTAGGAGAGCACAGCGTATGCTTCTTATTAGTGGGAAGTAAGACAGAAATGAAGATGGTTCGAAATGTTTCCTTTGGTAATACCTTTCAAAAGAAAACGGACAAGTCATCCAGGTCAGCATCCTTTTACGTGATAATCATAGGAGCCCTTTCTGGATATCCCAGTGAGTATGACTCAGTACAGGAAGTATTGCTTATTGGAGACAGGGCCTCACCCTGTAGCCCTGGCTACCGTGCTGACCTGCAGCCCATTACGCAGAGCACTTGAACTCGTGATGGTCCCTCCTATCTGTGCCTCCCCAGGGCTGGCATGTGTGCTCCATAGATGGAGTCACTGGGACTGGGTTCCACAAGTCTGCCTTTTGCTTGGTTGAGGTTTTCCGTAGTGGTCTCCATCTGCAAAGAGACGTTTCCTCTGAAGGGTGAGGACGCCACTGTCTGTGGCTGTAAAGGCAGATGGCTACACTGGTGTTAGGGTCATGCTAGTGTAGCAAGTGGGGCTTGTAGGTTGTTCTCCAAGACCGTGACTTCACTAGCCCTGGGCAGTGGCGTGTGCGAGCCTCATTTTTCTAGATATTTTGTATGTCTGCTCTCAGTATGACTTACCATAATTTTACTAGCTTATGTTAAAGTGCCTTTTTAGTTTTTTTTCATGGTCTAATGTTAGCATGCTCTTGAAATACTAATGATTTATGTTTTTCTTTATTTGACTTATTTCTTAGCTCCTTTATAGATAAGACATTTTGATTTCAGTTATCCATTGTTTATAAAATCTGACTAAAAGGTTTTTGTTGTTGTTGTTTTATTAAAGCTGGTTAAGTTATGTTGGCCTTCTTATGAACTATAGTTTGTAATTAATTTTTGTACACAAATTTATCAGTTTTTGATAATTTTTACTTTGTGATTAACTCCTATTTGGGGGTCTCCTGTGTTTTCACTCTTCTTATCTACCAGTCACTTCAGGTACATAAATTTGTTTTGCTAGTGTTTATCATACAAATGGAAACCTTTCAACTCAGATTTTATAAGATTGTGTCTGTTTCTAAATTATCACCTCAATATGGAGTTCAGAAGATCATATTTTTCTCAAAGAAAATGGAGGAATCTTGGTCATTTTGGACAACAGTTTAGGACGGTAAATGTGAAATCTCTTGATCTTTAAGGAAGTATATGAAATGTCTGTCTTTTTGAAATAGGCACGTGGAAGTCCAGGTGTTTGGTGACCACCACGGCAACGCAGTGTACTTGTTTGAAAGGGACTGTAGTGTGCAGAGACGGCATCAGAAGATCATTGAAGAGGCCCCGGCGGTAAGGAAGCTGAAAGGATGTTTCTGAGGTTCTCTCGAATGTGAACCTTCTCCCGTCACATTTTCACATCTGATTCATGAAGCTAATGTCTTCCATCCCTAATATCCGAATAGTAACATAGTGATAAGACTTTGATGCAGAACTGAGGATGTGGGGTGGGGGTAGGTAGGGATGGGATATTGTTCTGGGGCAAGATGAGCCATGTCCCTTCTAGACACTGTCTAGGACGGTCTACCTTGGTGTAAGTATCTGGCTAAGAGTTAGCAATTGGACAGTGAGGTTAGAGCACATGTTTTAAGCTGTAATTAACTACATGACTGAAATGGAATTATCTGGCTAGTTTTTGGTTTGTTTGTTTGTTTTTTCATAGAGAAGACTCTTGTTTTAACCACTGTTTCAGCATTTCCTTAAGTACTTTAGTCATCTTCTTACCCAATAGTTACATTATGGAGAAAATGGAGTCACTGTTTGACAACTTCGCCTTAATATTGTTCCCATCTCTTGGTTGGTCCAAGTTGCTTAGGAGGGTCAGAGCCAGGGCTACCTATTTTGGGGTTATATTCCTTTAGGGCTTACATCAGGGCCCTGAGGTTTCTAGTTAACCAGTGTTCTTACACTATTCAAAATAGAATTTTTTTGTTGCAGAATATATTAGATGTTTGAAGTGGATGTCAACAACATCAGTAAGGCTTATAATGTTGAAGCAGAGATTATTTAGGTGTCTGTGTGTGGAGTATTGCTGTGAACAGTGCCTGGGGAAGAGGCATCAGATTCCCTTTGGTTTCCCTACAGGTTGAGCTGCCTGATAATGGTGCTGGGCATCAAAGTAGCTCTCTGTGAGAGCAGTACACACTCTGCTGTCCATGTCTCCAGCTCAGTACTTGTCTTCCTTTACGTAGTTATGGAAGTTGTAATGAAAGTGCGAAGGATAAAGATAGGTACTGGAATGGAGTAATACCTGTAGTTCATAGACGTACTAGCAGAAGCACTCAACGGTGGTGTAGTGACAAATTGTATATTATCCTTTTAATGCCATTACTTAATATGCATTATTATCTAATGTACATTTTAATGGTGTTTCATTCTGGTGGAAATGTATGGTGAGACCACGCACTAATGGAAATTGTCTTGAATGTCGCCCGTAGCCGGGGATTAATCCAGAAGTAAGAAGAAGGCTGGGCGAGGCCGCAGTCAGAGCTGCGCAGGCTGTCAAGTATGTGGGCGCAGGTATGTTAACACCTCCTTGTAAAAACCGCATTTGTTTCGGGAGATAAGAGGGACATAAGCTAGGCTCCCTGGATGTCTACAGTAGGAAATGGACTTTTAAGAAACAAACATTTTTTTAAGCAGTACTTAGCCCAGTCATATATGAGGAACTTTGTTACTCCCTATTCTATTTTAAGATAAGATGAATCAATTGTTGCTTTTTTTTTTCTTTTAAAATGATTAAACTTTATTTTTAGAGCACAGTTTTTGGTTTTATTTGTTTACAGAGCTTAGGACTGAAGCTAAGGCCTCACATATGGAGGCAAGAGCTTTACCACAGAGATACACCCAAAAGTCTTTAAGAGCAGTTTTTAGAAGCTGAACAGAAGGCCAGATTTGCAATCTGCAGCATGTCCTCTCACTTTTATGCCTAAAATCTTATGAAGAGTAGATGTTTTTAATTTTGATTAAATCTACTCCGTCAACTTTTCTATGGGCTACGCCTTTAGTGTGTGCACATGTCATTTCTACACTCGAGTTCATCTAGATGCTTTTTCATGTTTTTTTCTAGGGCTGTAGTTTTGAAGTTTCTGTTTAGACATATTATCTGTTTTGAGTTGATGCTTGTGAAAATATAAAATCTGTGTCCAGATTTTTTTGTTTTCCTTCTCAGTGTTTTTGTTCCAGTACTGTTTTCTCAGCAAGTTGTTTCGTGAATATCAATAAGCTGATTCTAAAGTTTATATTAAGAAGCAAAGGGCCCCAAATATCAACTCAACAATACAGAAAGATTTTGGGCCATTGTATTGCCTGTACCCCTTTGCCTACAGCTAGGCTTGCTTTTCTAGTCCTTCGATTTGTTCATCTGCTCAGTAGCGATACTTTACACTCTTAGTTCAACTGCAGCTTTTATAGTAAGTCTTAAAGCTGAGTATTGTTACTCCTCCAATTTTGCTGTTCTCCTGTATTGTTAACTCAACAACTGATTCAGGGTTTTTGTGTGTGTGTGTGGTTTTTTTTTTTTTTGTTGTTGTTGTTTTTACATTTTCCTAAGACTTATTTTTATGGATGTGAGTATTTTGCCTGCATGTATGTGTGTACATTGTGTGCGTCTGGTGCTTACAGAGGCCAGCAGAGAATGCTGATCCCCTGGAATTGGGGGAGAGAGAAAATGTGACAGAGAAAGAGACTGTCCACATTGTCAGTTGCTTGTGCGATGGCCTATTGTGCCTTCTGAGGAATTGGGCTGTTTCATCTGAATTATTGAGTTCATGAGCAAAGACTTATTGGTAATATTTCTTTAGGTCTGGCAGTGCGGATCAGTGGGAAAAAGTAGATGTCTCCCACATGGAAGGCTCTGCACTCAATCCCTAGCACCATACGGAAAAGACAAAGTTTTCCCTTTAATTGTCCCGAGACCTGTGCTTAAGTTCTTCCATTTCTGACATTGTCCTCTGTGGTCTTCTGTTCTATCAGCCTGGTCAAAAAATTCTTTGACCAAGAAACTGTTTTTGTTTTCCATTTTTCTCTATTGAGTTTATAATTTCACTGATTTCTGTATCTATATTATTTTTTATTATTTATATATTTAGACAAGGTTTTGCTATGTAGCTTTGGCTTGCCTGGAACACACAAACCTGTGCCTGCCTCCGACTGCCTCCAGGTGCTAGAATTCAATGCATTTGCCAAATATGCCCAGCCCGCTATAAGTTTTTTTGTTTTTTTTCCTCCCTCCCTCCCTCCCTCCCTCCCTCCCTCCCTCCCTCCCTCCTTCCCTCCCTCCCTCCCTCCCTCCCTCCCTTTCTTTCTTTCTTTCTTTCTTTCTTTCTTTCTTTCTTTCTTTCTTTCTTTCTTTCTTTCTTTCTTTCATTTTTTGTTTTGTTTTGTTTTGCTTTTTGAGATAGGGTTTCTCTGTGTCGCCTTGGCTGTTCCGGACTCACTTTGTAGACCAGACTAGCCTTGAACTCTAAGAGATCCACCTGCTTCTGCCTCCCCGAGTGCTGGAATCATAGGCATGCACCACCACACCAACTTTGCTATAATTTTTTAAGATTTTTGTTTTTATAGTTACTTATGCTCTGCGTGTGTGTGTGTGTGTGTGTGTGTGTGTGTGTGTGTGTGTGTACCTTTTGGGGGGATATTTTTTAATTAGCCAGTCTAATCGATTGACCTATAAAAATGTGCTTTCCAGCCTCACTCTTATCTTTGTCCACTCATTTGACTCCATAGCTTTGCTATTTATTGGGAATAATGCTACAGTAAGCATAGGCAAGTGGATAGTTGTAATCTGCTCACGCACGCAGGTGTGTCACCGTGCACAAGAGGATTTCGGGATGACTCTTGAAAGTCAGATTTCTCCTTCCACCATGTGATTTCCAGGGATTGAACTCAGGGCTTCAGGCTTGGCAGCAAGACCTCTGAACCATCACTTAACCCTCTGCTGTAATTTATATTGTTTGACTTATATTACTGTATTACTGGACCTAATTTGATGTATTTTTTCCATCCTTTCTTATATGTTTGCAGCTATAAATTCATGGGCATTTTCTGTGTTACATCCCTTCATTTCAATTGTATTTTCATTTAATAGAAAATATCAAAGTTTTCCTTTTTTGTGTGTATTTCTGATATTGGTTTCTAGTTAGTACCATTGTCTTCTGAGAGCAGACACCATTGATGCTGTTTTTATTGTTAAAACTATTAATGCATATTATACAAATCAGTGGGTTTTCATTGTGACATTCCCACATTTACTGCTTTTGAGTGTTCACCCTTCCCTTTAGTTATCTCTTTCCTTCTTCTTCCCCTCCTTAAATTCCTTCCCCCTCCCTACGTGTCCTACTTTCAGGTCATGTGAGAACGTAATTGACTGGCTCGCTCATCCTGCATCCTTTATTTGTTTGTTCATAATTTATATATTCAGTTTATGTACTGATCATAGCTGCCTTTCTGCTCTCCTCCCGGTCTCTCCCTTCCACTCTCTTCCCCCTATCCCTGCTCCCCTTTTCCTTAGAAAAGCAGAGCCTCCCAACCCACCCCAGCACATAAAGTTGCATCAGTACTGAGCTCCTCATCAACCGAGGCCAAGTAAGGCAGCCTGTTATGGGGAAGTGATTGAAAGCAGGCAAGAGTCCATGTCATAGACAGCACCCACTAGGGGACCCACATGAAGATCAAACTGCCCACCCATGTCCAGGGGGGCCCATGCCCAGTCCATGCATGCTCCTTGGTTAGTGTTTCCATGTCCAAAAGCTCCCATGAGCCTCAGTTAGTTGACTCTGTTGGTCCTCATGAAATTCATGCCCCCTCGGGGTCTTTCTGTCATCCCCAGCCTCCACCCCCAACTCTTCCAGAGGACCTCCTGGGCTCTGCCTAATGCTTGGCTGTGAGTCTCAGCATCTGATTCGATCAGCTGCTGGGTGGGACCTCTCAGAAGATGGCTATGCTAGGCTCCTGTCTGTAAACATAGCAGAGTGTTCTTAATGGTGTCAGGGGTTGGCTCTTTCCCATGGGTGGGTCTCAGGTTGGGCCAGGCATGAGTTAGATAGTCCCTCTGTCTCTGTTCTGTCTTTATGTCTGCACATCTTGTAGGCAGGTAAATTTTGGGTAGCAGCGTTTATAGGTGGATTGATGTTCCCCTCCTACCACTATAGGTTCTGCCTGGTTAGAAGGCAGCTTTCTCAATCTCCATGTCCCCTGCTGCTAGGAATCTCAGCTGGAGTCATCCCCTATCCTCCCTGGAGCCTACCCTGTCTCAGGTCTCCAGCGTGTCTCAGAGATGCCCCCACACTCGGTTTCTCTTTTCTCTCCAAGCCCCTCACTTCCTTTACACTTGTCATTGGCCCACCCCCTCGTTTTCTTCCCCACACCCTCTCCCTGTCTTCATCCACTTCCGCTGTCTATTCTGTTTCCCCATCTGAGTGAAAGTCCCTTGGGCCCTCCTTGTTACTTAGCTTCTTTGGGTCTGTGAACTGTAGCATGTTTATCCTACATTATATGGCTAATATCTGCTTTTAAGTGACTACATACCATGTATGTCTTCCTGCTTATGGGTTATCTCACTCAGGATGATCTTTTCTAGTTCATTCCATTTGCCTGCAAATTTCTTGATTTCCTTGTTTTTCATAGCTCATCCTTAGTCATCAGGGAAATGCAAATCAAAACGACTCTGAGATTTTATCTCATACCTGTTAGAATGGCTAAGATCAAAAACTCAAGTGACAGCGTATGCTGGTGAGGTTGTGGAGAAAGGGGAACATTCCTTCCTCTATTGCTGGTGGGAGTGCAAACTTGTACAACCACTTTGTACAATTTTGGTGGTCTCTCAGAAAATTGGGAATAGCTCTACTTAACTATGCCACTCATGGCATGTACCCAAAAGATGCTTGACCATACCGCAAGGACACTTTTCTGTCACATTTATTTTTAAATGGTTGTTTTATATTTGATGCATGTGTGTTTACAGTTTTATGTTTTCACAGTGGATTGTCCCTTTTCTTGATGACCTTTATCCTTCTTGAGCATTTTTGTGTGAAGCCTATTTATCCAATATGAGCATAGCTGTTCCTGCATGCTTTCTGATTCCATTTCCTCATACTTCCATTTTCTACCCTCTCACTCTTAGTCCATGTATGTTTTTGTTGATGCTTGAGTTTCTTGAGGCAGCAAATTGGTGGTTCTTGTTTTTAATTCACTCAGATACTCTAAATCTTTTCATTGATGAATTAAAATAATTCATGTTCAGGGTTATTGCAAGTAATATGTAACAGTTCTTGTCATTTTTGTTGTTTTCTTCTGGCTGTTCTCAGTATCCTGTGTTCATGTCTTTCTGCTTTGTTATTATTAGGAGTTTCTGGTTTAATGAGTTAACGGTGTCTGAATCTTACCCAATTCTCACTTGCTTGACTATTTGTCTAATTGAATTTCCTTCTTTCGCCTGTTCTCAAGCTTGTTAATGTTGCTTCCACCTTTGGACACGGATTCATTTAAGAATCTTCTGTAAAGCCAGTCATAGTGGTATACACGTTTTTCATCTCAGCACTAAGGAGGCGGAGGCAGGCAGAGCTCTGTGAGTTTGAGGCCAGCCTGGTCTACAAAGTGAGTTCCCAGACAGCCAGAGTTACGTAGAGAGATCGTGTCTCAAATAAATGACTAAATAAATAGATAAATAGGTAAATAGATAGATAGATCTATTATAATACTGAGTTATCAACTATGTGTGTCTTTAGCTTATGCCTGTATTGGCCTGCCTTTATTTCTCTTTCATTTCTGAACGATAGTTTTTCTGGATAGGACTCTCCATTGCCAGTTTATTTTCTCTCAGAGTTTAAAATACAGCATTCCGTAGCTGCCATGGTGGCACAGGCCTGTAACCCCAGCACTTGGGAGGCAGAGGCAGGTGGATCTCTCTGAGTTTGAGGCCAGTCTGGTCTACAGAGTTCCAAACAGCCAGGGCTACATAGAGAAACCTTGTTAAAAATACATACATACATATGTACATACAAACATACATGCATACATACATAAATGCAGCATTCCATACCCTCCTTGCTGTCGGAGCTTCTGTGAAGAAGTCTCTTATCCTGGTGGGATTTCCTTCATGGCTGATGTGGTACTTCTCATTCTCGCTGTTTTGAGGTTGTCTGTGCTCTGGCAGTTTAATGAACATGTAGAGAGAGGTTCCTTTCTGGTCATGTCTGATGGAGTTCACAGAACCCCCTGTACCTGGATGTCTGGGTTTCCCAAGACTTGAGACGTTCTGCTGTTGTTTCACTGCGCACATTTTTTTCTACAGCATTCACCTATATCATGGCTCCTTCGTTATTGTGTGCCCTTTCCCTGGGGCCACAGAGGCCCTGCATGGTCAGTGCCGTCTTACAGTTTTCTTTATTATAGTCTGTTTTAATCCATCGACTTGGTCTTCAAGTCCTAGTTGTCTTTCTTTCACTTGATCGCATCTACTGATGATGATTCTTTGGATCATCAGTTTGTGTGCTTGTTTGTATTCGTTTTTGAGAAAGAGTCTCATGGTGTAGCTCAGGTCGAATGTGGTGATCCTTCTCCCTCAGCCTCTCTGATGCTGACATTACAGGTGAGCGAGCACCTTCAAGCCTGTATGTGTGTGTGTGTGAGATTTTTATAAATTATTTATTTATTTTAGCTATAGGATGTGGTACATAGACATACATGCACGCCTGGTGCCCTCAGAGGCCAGAAGAGGGCCCTGGAGTTAATGGCAGTTGTGAACCAGCATGTGAGTGCTGAAACTGAAACCCGGGTCCTCTGGTAAAAGAGTCAGCACTCCTAACCACTGAGCCATTTCTCCAGCCCCCACTCTGTAGCTTTTTGTGGTTGTTGTTTGTTTACTTACTGAATTTTCATTTGCAAGATTTCTGGTTCTTTTTCAGAATCTCTTTTTGTGAATTATTTTTTTTTCATGCTCCATAATGTGTTCTTTAACTTTTCCAGCTACTCATGTGAATTTGGTGGTGATTTTAAGATGAATCATTTGAGATTTTGGGGCACATCATCCTCTGCAGTGTCTCTGGAGTCCTTTTCTAGGGTGTTAACTTTTGAGGAGTCCTGTTGGTTTGCTGGCTCATATCTCTTGTGTTTCTATGTTGAGATTTCACATATGGGAAGGTGGAACATCCTTACATGTTTATGTGGAGACAATCCCCGTTGACAGATGCATCTGTGTAGTGTTGCCTTTAATTGCAGATTATTTCTTGCTGTCATTTAGCTTCTTTTGCTCGTGGTTAGTAGAGTTCAGTGCAGTGCATTTTGTGTTGGAGCCCACGCCACCTGCCTTCTCTGTAGATCTACCAAGAGTGGAGACACTATGGAAGCCAGTGCATACGGATAGCCTTGGCTGTGGATGCTTGAAAACTGTTAGAACCTTTGACTCCCAAACCAGCAAGCTCAGACAAGATAATTCTCAACACAGCCCTCATCATGCCGCACTAAGGAATGTCCTGTCGCGTGTCTTATGTGTGTGTAGACTGCCCTTCTTCCCCGTGCTGCAGCCTGTCCTAACTGGGCTTTCTTGGTCTGTCCTTCAGTTTTACCTTTACCCTACCCTGGGATGCACTGTGGTGTGTTTGCCTAAAGCTCTCTTCTCGTCCTTTGCTCTCCAGTGTGCCTGGGTTTTGTCAAGTATCTGCTTGAAACTAAATTGATCACCTTCCCATAGTCACAGCTTCAAGAATCTCTCTTCCCTGGTTTCTTTGCTTCTATTCCTGAGACAAGTGGCTGATCACATGTTTCTAGTCTCATTTCTGTTTCTCATTGATCAGGAGGTCATCTGTGGCCCAGAACAGGATTCCTTTAGGTGATCTCGATGATTCTAGGCGACTAATCATTGCAAGTTTGAGAAGATATTCTCCTGTTGTGGTTCATAGCTAACAATTTATCTAGTTGATTGATGGAGTTAATGTATATCCTTGCAAATTATCTACCTGCTGGATCTGCCCAATCTAATAGAACATTATTGTTTTTCAACTACTGTGATGAATTCACCTATTTCTCCTTGTTTTCAGTTTTTGCCACATGTCTTTTGATATTGTTAGGTATTTGATATTGATATATATTTTGCAGTATTGACCCCTTTACCATTTTTATATTGTTTTCTTTATATTATTATTCATCCATGATAACATTCCTTACTCTGCAATATGATCCATCTGAAATAGCCTACTTGCTTTATTGTTTGTATGCAGTATCTTCTACACTTTTTACTTTAAATCAGTTAATTTTTTAAATTAAAGATGAGTTTCTTGTAGACAATATACAGTTGGGTCTTTTTTATTATCTTAACACAGTTTCTGCCTTTTATTTGGTATGGGACTATTGAAATGTAAAATGATTGCTGCAGTAGTTCAAATAATGTCTACTATGTTTTTGATTGTTTTCCATTTGTTCCCTTTGTTCTTCATTCTTATTTTTGTCTTTCACTCATTCTCTTTCTTTCTTGTTTTTTTTCCCTGCTCAGCTCTGTTACTTTCATTGTTTTAATTGAGCATTTTATGTGATTCTTTAACATATCAGCTGGTAGTAAAAGACTCACACTATGTATTCAGATTAATCCTACCACATTCATATGGCAGTCTTGGGCCAGTGAGATGCACTTGTCATACAAGCCTGACCATCTGAGATCAACCACCAGAACCGGAAGGAGAGAACTGACTCCCAAAAGCTGTTCTCTGACCTCCACATGTGCACCATGTCATATATGTGTCTTCGCTCATAGAGACACACACAATAATAAATGAATGAATGAATGAATAAAAAATTTTAAAAATGTTAAAAGTCTTATCATATGTCATAAGCATAGGTACTTTATAATAATAATAATTAGGTATCTCTAATATATCCCTCTTGTCCCTTCTGATATTGTTGTCATGCCCTTTATTTCTACATAAGAATATATATGAAGACACACATAATCATATTCACTGTTTTGTGTTATATTAAGCTGTTTGCTAAATCAACTAGCAATTAAAGCAAATGAATTAAGAGTTTCATTGTACTTTCACCTACTTATTTTCTGATGGTCTTCCTTTATATAGACAGACATTTCTTACAAGGCTGATATGATTGTAGTCATTTGACAAAATCAGCTCACCTACACTTCAAATAATCAAAGTATTGTGTAAAATTAAGCCTAATAAAACTAAAGGATGTTTGCCTTCAGTGGGGCCTGGGATCCATCCCCAGCACGACTAGAAAAGCGTTACAGCTCTTAGCACACTACCAGTAGGCTTGGTATCAGCATATAGCTTAGACACTGAACAGCTGAAAAGGGCTTTCAGTGTGTTCCTAACCGAAGGGCTTTTCTTATTTCGGGTGGGGAGCAATACTGAAGGTCAAACTTAGGGCCCAGGGTGCCTGAGATAACAAATTACTAGACAGCTATAGCCCCAGCCCTCATGAGTATTTCAAGAGAGAACTTGCTGGACCCACAGTAATCTGGGAGGAAAGTTACGTCTTTATCCAGAGTTCAAGTGAGGTGAGCCGTCAGCGTGAGGCTTCTGGGGTAGGTGTGCTGGAACAGTAACTCACAGTCCAAATATGCCATCATTACTACAACGGGTACCACTGGTGTATAATTTGGGTTTAGCATTTGCTCAGGATTCCAAAGATATTTTCTGTTGCTACCTTTCATACAGTTCTCTAATCTAAACTGAGACTCATTTGCTGCTGAGAAATGTGGTGTTTTCTTCATGAAATGCAAATTATGTTCCATAAATGAAGTCCTCAGCAGTAAAACTCAATGTGCTGCATCATAGAAAGTATTTTTTAAACCCTAAATTCCCCCCCCCCCCCATGGCCTGCATGTATGGCTGTGTGCCATTTCTATAGAGGCCAGAAGAGGGCATCAGATGTCTGTTAGTCCCCATGTGTGGGTGCTGGGAACTACAGCTGTGGAGGAGGTCTGGTGCTCTTCTTAGCTGCTGACCTCTTTCCAGCTCCCCTTATCGACAATCTCAGTGTGCTGCTGATCGTACGCTGCTGAAGTGCGTCCACTCTACGTTATCTTTCAGGAACCGTGGAATTCATTATGGACTCACAGCACAACTTCTACTTCATGGAGATGAATACGAGGCTGCAGGTAGAACACCCCGTCACTGAGATGATCACCGGAACTGACCTGGTGGAGTGGCAGTTCAGGGTGAGCAACAGCAGTGGTAGGCTGTGGGTGTCGCTTCGTGCTGGAGAGCTTGCCCAGCACCCCCAGAAACAGGGTCAGGGTGGAGAACACAGCACGTTCTGGATTCCTTTTACGCTGCTTTGGGTGTGACTCACTTCTGTGGTTTGGGATGAGGACAGGAAAATGAAAGGTTAAAAAAGCTGCATCTGAGGCTGCAATATTATTGGCACTTTCGGAGCACAGACTTGTCAATTAACTTCACCTCCCCTCAGGCCCTGGGCTGCAGGCAGGTGGACTGGATCATGGCCATGCTGGAACTCTCTCTGTAGACCAGGCTGGCCTCAAACTCACAGAGATCCACCTGCCTCTGCCTCCCAGGTGCTGGGATTAAAGCTATGCCACACCACAGCCCACTGCTCAAAAAGACTTCTTAAAAATGGGGTTCTCTGGTTCAGACAGCTGAGCTCAGTCTGTCTTGGACTTGGATGGAAGCCAGTCTCAGAAAGAAAAAAAATAAAAGGAGAAGAAAAAAAAAAAAAAGCCAGTAAAGATAAGGCAGTTTGAAAACAGTTTGTGTGATAAAAATATGTCTTAGAACATGGGTTGTATGGCTAACACTTTTTTCTTTTGTATAAGAAGACAGTAAGAACTCTATGAGTAAGTAGAAAAGCTTCATTTTGAAACATAGCAATGAAAAGGATACTAGGAAACACTTCCGTGGTGCTTACTGTGGCCAGGCTCTGACTGTAAGAAGCTCGAGAAGTTTCTCTGGTCAGGATGAGTGTAGAGATAAACTAAACCCAGTCAGTATGGATACAGAGACTGTGGTCTGAAACCACAAACACACTGAATGTAGTTATTTCCTCTCTGGTTCTGTACTGTGTTCCTGACCCTTCCTGTTTGCAGGTTCTGAGGAATGAGCTTGTCTCTTTTCCTTTTCAGTCCAGAGTCATATGAAGTTACCTGTAATCTTTTCTCCTGTGTTTAGATTGCTTTTCTGTGGGGTTTTTTTTTTTTTTTTGGTTATTTTTGTTTGTTTGTTTGTTTTGTTTTGTTTTTATCTTTCGATAAAATTTGAAGAGAGGGAGGAAGTGGCCACATATTCTGCATTAGTTTTTTCTAAGTCATACTAACTGAGGAGTGAAATGACAAGTATTTAGTAAGAATGAATGATCACAGCTTATGGTCTGGGGTCACTCAGACACCTGAGTTCTTCCTTCTGCCTTACTCTGTCACTCACACGGTGGTGAAAATGACAGTATAGCTAATCTGTTCACAGCCTTTTTCATGGGTGTAAATGTAATTCTAAATGCCAAGTGTTTATAAAGATGAGTGAGGAACTGAGTTTTATATTGCAACTGAAACAGTATCTTAGCAGTAAGGAAGTTAGTTTTCATGGTATTACATACCAGTTTTTAGAAATTAGCCGTCTAATGGGCTTTCTCCACTTAAAACTCCAGGACCCGTCATAATGAATAGATTATCCCCGAGCTGACCCTGTTTTTCTCAAAGGGGTGGACAGTCACCATTTTTGTTGACTGCCATTCAGAATGCAGATGTCCGTTTTCCACGGGGTATGTATGAGCCACAAGCATTGCCCTGTAGGTCCTTTAGCAACTCTTAAAGATGCATTTTCACAAGAAGCACTGTTTTCTTACCAGATTGCAGCGGGAGAGAAGATTCCTTTGAGGCAGGAAGAAATCCCTGTGCGGGGCCACGCCTTTGAGGCTAGAATATATGCGGAAGATCCTGACAATAACTTCATGCCCGGGGCCGGGCCATTGGTCCACCTCTCTACCCCTCAGGCAGACATGTCTACAAGGATCGAAACTGGAGTACGGCAAGGTAACATTAAATAAGGTCAAAGCTATCCCTCCGATTAAACTCTTCTCTAAGATGAGGACATACGGCATTGCCCAGACCGGAATTAAACTCCAGGGCTCAAGTGTGTACCCTTGCCTTTCCTTGCCAATGAGCTAGAATTATGGATCTCCCCACCATGCCCAGACTTTAACCGCATTATCGTTATGTGTTCTTGTTTTACAGTTTATGTATTTGATTACTTTGTGGGATTGGGTGGGTTGGTGTAAATGTGCTCAGTGTGCATGAGTAGATCCTAAGACAACATCCAGGTTTCTCTGGTGCCCTGTGGGCCCAGGGAACTGAAGGCTTGGAAGCTCGGAGTGGAAATAAGTTCAATATGAGAGGGTAGGACTTTGCCTTGACCTCCAAAGAGAGAAAGAAAAAGAAGACCGGATGAAGAAAGCCAGCCTGTGTGTCACTGCGTCACATGGTAAAGCCTGGCACTGTCAATGATTAATCCTTGTTAGATTTTGAACAAGTTTTTAAATCCTCTGAGCCTCAGTTTCCTTGAAAGTAAAACTCTGCTCAGCGCACCTGCCACGCAGGAATTGGTGAAGACTGGGCATGGGATGACAGGAAGAATATCTTGCTCGGCCCTGCTTCATTCCCCAGAGTTCTGGCATTAACAGGTTACAATGTTTTTCTGTCCCAGGAGATGAAGTCTCGGTTCATTACGACCCCATGATTGCAAAGCTCGTTGTGTGGGCCCCAGATCGCCCGTCAGCCCTGTCGAAACTGAGGTACAGCCTTCAACAGTACAACGTGAGTGAGCCGAGGCCAGAGGCCTGGTGTGGGCACCTCATGCCTGCCTTCCTGTATGTCACACATGAAACAGTTCTGCACAGGGCAAGTCCCCAAACATCGGCGAGTGCAGGCTTTGAGCACTTCTTTGTTTCAGTTGGAAAATGAAGGAAAAAAAAAAAAACAAACCACTAATGTCAGTACTGCATTTCAGTGAAATCCTAGTCTTCTATAAGTAAAGCCAACTCTAGGGGTGAGCTGAATCAGTTTTCTTCCAAATCATCATTATCATCTTCATTTTCATGCATTTGGCAGAGTTTATTTGCCAAATATGCTGAATGATTTGAAATTGTTGTGTTATTAATCTGTGTAAAATCCCTGGTTTCTATGGCTCTCAGCACTGTGATCATGCTGCTATCGTTCGGTGCACCAGCGCAGAGAAGGGCTCTTGTTTCTCCTTTAGAGAATCCTTACCACATACTGTGTGCTAAACATCCTCAGTCCTGCTCACCTCCTCAGGGTCCACTTCCTGGTGTTCCGTTTAGAGCGGGACGCTTTGATGTTCTCTGTCACCGTGGTCAGCCTCAGTCTGGGCCTTATGAAGGCAGGGCCTGCATCTGTTTTGCCTCTTGCTATCCCTCAAGCCTGTGTCAGAGCCTAGCACCTAAACCTGCTCAGTAAAATAAAATAAGGACTGGGTGAGCGAGAGAATGAATTCATGACCCAAGGCCATAGTTACCTTTATCTTTAATCCTTTATTTATTTATTTATTTTGAGGTGAATTGCAGATTGTGTTATTCCTTTTTGTTTTTTGTTTTTTTTTTAAATCCATGAATAAACTTTGGATTTTAGTGTTGGAAGGAAGTTCCTTTCAGGCCGTTTGTTCTTGTTCCTCCTCCCATATCACAATCCTGCCTCCATTTGCAGTCACCCTATTTTATGGAATGTTCTAACTAACAATCTTTGGTCTCTTGCAAATAAATTTCCTATCTGTTTTCTTAACATTCATCGTTTTCCTAACATGAGACAGTTAAGCCTTCCTGCTATACCACATCATGCATCTGGGTTCTCTTGTTCATCTACATTTTGAAGTGTGCGTCCAGATGTGTGATAACCTATGCAGCGACCCTGAGTGTGGCCTTTCTGCACATGACCCCTTAGCTGGTCACAGAGCAGACACTTTCCTGAATATGTTGTTCTCTGAAGTCAGCGGAACCTGGCTTTGCTTCTCCTCCCAGATTGTCGGCCTGCGCACCAACGTGGACTTCCTGCTCCGGCTCTCTGGCCACCCAGAGTTTGAAGCTGGGAATGTACACACTGACTTTATCCCGCAACACCACAGGGAGCTGCTGCCCACTCACAGCACCGTAGACAAGGAGTCTGTGTGCCAGGCAGCTCTGGGGCTCATCCTCAAAGAGAAAGATATGACCAGCGCCTTCGGACTTCACACGCAAGGTACAGAGCACTCCTTTCTTCCCTCGCTGTGTTCTCTGAGTCAGCAAGAATCGTGCTTCTCTGTGTGCGTGTCATTCTTGCCTTTTCAGCTTCCAGTGGCTGATTCTGCAGGCGTTTTTCTGTGTGGAAAAGAACTCTTCATCTATCACAAGTGCACACTATTTATCTTTTATTAGTACTATTATATTAATTTTTCATTTTTGGTTTATTTTATATGTATTGGTGGTTTATATGTAGTACTCGTAGAGGCCAGAAGAGGGCATCAGATACCCTAGGATTGGACCTATGGATGGTTGTAAACCTCCATGTTTCTGGGAATTGAACTTGGCCCTTTGGAAGGGCAGCTACTGCTGTTAACTACTAAACCATCTCTTTCGCCCCAGGATATGATATGTTCATGCCTCCTATAGGATTCAATTGGTAGCATCTTTGGTTTTTAGATTTGTTCGAGATCGTTCTATTGAAAGCTTAAAGAACGCAACTCTGTCTTTACATTTGTGTGCTCTCTTCTCACGTTGTTCCTTTGCTCTTCAAATTTATAACTATCACAATCACAGGCTTCACACTAAATGGATTCAGCTTAATCACACCACAATCCCTGGGTTGTAGCCAGCAGAGTGTGTGTGCCTCGGCACAGAGAGCTGGACCAGTGACACAGAGACACAGTGAAAGGGAAACAGTGAGTGGTCGAGGCTGGGGCACGATGGGAGCTCTGTGTCACAGAGGACCAGAGCTGATTACAGACACTCAGTCCTCCAGAGAAGCTGGAACTTCCCATATAAACGTCTCTGAGACATAAGGGAGAGTATCCACAACGGGATACATGCCTGAGCGGCCGACCGAGGACCCATCATTTCTGTGCACTTTTGTAAAGTCTACACTTTGGGGGGGCTTGATACTTGTAATTTTGTTGTTGTATTTTAAATTTTTTCTAGATCACTTCTCTCCGTTTTCATTCAGCAGTGGGAGAAGACTGAATTTCTCTTACACCAGAAACATGACTCTGAGAAGTGGCAAAAGTGGTGAGTAATATTTCATTACGAGAGAGATTCTGAGCGTAGGAACACAGCACATCAAACCAAACAGCTTTTTCAGCCTGGTCTTGCTCGGTCAGCTGTGAGTTTTGATTGGCTCCGGGTCATGGGGTAGTGGTGTACATTTTCTCCCCACTTCTGTGCTTTTAAGTATTCTGAAAATATGCCATAAGACATATACCTAGCAAACAACTGAAATGAGACATGTCAAAGAATTAGTGAGATGAGCAGGGTATGATTTGAGGCAAGGTCTCTCTCCTCTTTGTTCTTTGTATTGCCCTTGCAGTTTTCCTGCTCAGAGAACATTGCTTTTAGCTAAGAAAACAGTGTTCAGAACTGCCGGAGACAGAGGTTCAGGCAGTGCTTTGAGATCGGGTGGCTTGGGTCACTGAAGAGCTATCATTTAGTATATGTCTCATCTTATGAGTGTTTATCTCCACAAGAGCTTACTGAGGGGAATGAGGGAGTCATGTGTGGATGCTGATGCACAGAAAGTAGAGTGATTTACTGAAGGCCACTCAGGGTGGAGCATTATGGATGCCCACGGCTTTTGATTACTGACTCCATGCTTTTCCCTAACACTTTTCCGGTTAGGCGGTCTTGTTTTTGTTTTCTTAACTATTTACTAGTTTAAGAAGGCTCAACATAGAGACTGACATTTTAACTAAATTAGAAGATGCTAGCGCCTGGGCCAGTAGATGGTTAAGGAATCATGACCAGGCAGGACACAGTAGGTCAGAATGCTCTGAGAGCCAGTGACTGTCCCTTCTGCTCCAGGACAGTCTGCATGAGAAGCCCGACTAGGTGAAGTATGCGGGACACGAGGAAGTGAGGTATCCTTGAACTGTGGCAGCTCCTGTAGATGCATCCCTACTGGCTGGAGCGGCTTGCTGCCAGCTCTGTCACCCCCTTCTCTGAGCGGAGCAGGAGCTTCTTGGCTCTTTAGGTCATAGACAGCATTCCTCTGTAGCAAATGCGCTCTTCGCAAACTGATTGCCCTGTGACTGCTATGTCACTGTTAGCCTAGATGGGCATTACTAGAACCCCACTGGGTGATCTCCAAGGAAGTTGGCAAATACCCATCCACCCCACAGTGTAAGTGGTTAGCCACTGTCATTGGGCTGGAGCATTTACTCCTGTCATCTGTAAGGCAGCCTCCAAAATCTGAGAATGTCTCGTTAGATACAGTGTTAAACATTTTCCAGAGATAGTTCTTATTTGCACTGTTCAGAGCAGGCCAGCAGGATCCATGCTATTAGTAATACTACCTTTGTTGTCAACAAGTAATCTCCTTTAGCCAAGGACAAAGCTCAGATACTAGTAATTTTCCAAAGGTCATACAAAAATAATTCAAGCCTGGGTTGGACACCATACTCCACTTAATGCATGCTTATATAACACTATACCCACGGAATTTCCATGCCTTATTAAGTGTGTAATGAGCTGGTCAAGATTCTCTGGTGGAAACAAAAATATCTGGAGATATAAAACATAACATATATGCATATTTATATATATAAATCTGTGAAATTACAATCAAATCTTTACCATAATTCACTTGCATTGATGTCATTTAAACACTTTTACTTTTTTTGTAATTTTTGTAATTTAAAAAAAAAATGATCTGGTGTAATTGAAGGCATTTTCTCCTGGAAAAAAAGATGTAAAGCATGTTTATAGTACAAACAGTGGAGAATTTCCACCCAGTCGGTGTAAAACTTTTGAAAACAGCTGTGCTGATTGATATTGAGAAGAATAAATCGTTTTTTGTGCCCGTGTGCGCGCGCGTGCGCAGATGGGTAGGTAGGTAGAAAACAATGCTGAGACACTGGGCCCTCATTACCAGGACAGTAATTTGCATATGGAACTGCAAGGGTTGATGGAAAGCAGGGAGGGCTCAGAAGGTGTTCAGAGCCAGCCAGCCTAGGTCAGGTAGAGCATCAGGAAGAGACAGGTTTTGGAAGGAAAGAACTTGGCAGCCAGCTGCTGCCCATGGACATAGAAGACATAGCACAAGGCAAGACTAAAGAGCTTCAGGCTGGATGGCAGGAGACCGTAGCCATGCCAGTATGGGGATTGTGAGACAGGAAGGGACAATAATGAGCCTAAAATATTCATGTCAAGGTTTCAGTATCATTCAGGGCATAACTAACTAAGCAGGATCTGGAGAAGATCAGGATTAAAAACATTCCAAGTTGGAAACATCTCGGTGATGCCAGGACTTCCAGAGTTCAAATGGTGTTAACTTGAATAACTCTGGTCACAGCAATGTTTGTTGCTGGGGATTGAACCCAGGGCCTTGTAGGTACTATGTGGAAATACCTTTTGATTTCCAACTTGAAGAAGAGCCTTCACCCAATTCCATATTCATGTACAGCATGACAATTTCTTACATACTTATGATCTATTACAGTTTTTAACCACTTTCACATTTATTCAGTTATTACATTCCCAGACCCATTTAATGGCTGGATAATGAAAGCACACAGAAAGAATGACTTAGCCAAGGCCACAGAGGTAATCAGATGGTAGATTTGAGTCTCAAAGCAGGCCTTCTCTTTGCTAGATGGTTGGTTACATTTTCTGCACAGTCACTGTAGCTTTTGTGTGTAGGCGAAAATATGTGAATTATTAAAAGTCCATTTTCCAAAGAGAAAGTTTTGCCAATCCAGCTGTGCTGAACCCAGTCACGGACTTTGCCAGGAAAAAACATTGTATCCCCGGGAGTTAAGATGTTGCCTTTTCTTTGCATAGCTGACTAACTTAAAGTTGAGAGGGACAATTTTGTCATCACCATTGTTACATAATGTTTTCTCTCTTTTTTTTTTTCTTCAATGTTTCCCTGTTCCATAAAGATGTAGTCATAGCTGTAACATATAACCACGATGGGTCATATGACATGCAGGTAAGTCTTGATAGTTTGGGTCTGTGGCTCAGAGCCAAATCCTATCTCTCTCATATTGTATATGGTTAATTTTCCTTCTCAGATTTCCCTTAAGCCTTTGACTATTGTAACTGTCATGAGAGTGCCACATGCTCTTATTTCAAAGCAGTTTGAAGGAATCACGCCTGTATTGTTTCTGACTTGTTTGCTCAGTTTGGCTGTGATTCCTTTAAGCATAAAAACTTAGCAAAAAAGGATAGCTTTGAGTTAAACAGGTAATAAGGCCCTCAGGTATGTGCACACATTCACCAAAAGAGCAGCCCTTGGATCTTCAGGCTTGGGAATTCTGTACACACTTAAAGGTTTTTGAGAGGTCAGAAGTACAGAGAGCTATTAGAAAACATAAGAAAATTAGATGGACAGCTTAGTGGCACAAATACATTCACGCTGTTGTGTAACGGTCACCACCATCCATCAACAGAGCTGCTTAAAAGTAAAAAACAAAAGCTTTATTTTTTTCCTCTATTTTTTTTTGACAATTTCCATCATAAATACAATGTATTGTGAGCACATCCCCTCTTCCATTGCCCTCTTACCCTCCCCCTGTTCCCCAACCAACACTTTTTTCCCCAGCTGGTCGTCTCCAACTTTCATGACTTTGTTTTAATCCACTGAGTTGCTTAGGGTGGCCTGGGTAAGCATGGAGAGGGAGCTATTTGCTGGAGCACAGGCCACTCCCGGCTGGTCACACCGCTTAAGAAGATGATACCCCTTCTCCAGCAACCATTAACTGCCAGTGGCCCCGCTCCCTTCTCCTCCTCTTTCTCCTTCTCCTCCTCCTCCTCCCCTGCGAGGCATGAGGCTTGAATGTTTCCGAGGCCAGTCTGGAGCAGGCCTTGTGCAGGTTTGCGAAGTCACTGTGTGCTCATGATCACAAACATCTGTGCCTGTCTGGCTGCCGTGTTTTACAGCACACCTCCTCATCCTGTTCTGTTGTCGCCGTTATTGCTGATGTATATCTCCTGTCCACCCCCTCTTCCACGATGCTGGGCGCTGGAGGGGGTGACGGAGATACCCATCTGTGGGCGAGCACTCAGAGCTCTCACTCTCAGCCCACTGGCCACATGTTAAGTCTCGGCGTCAGCCAGTAGCCAATGCAGAAAGGAGCATGTCTACCAAAGGTCGAGAGTAGCACTATCTAGTGGCATGAACACAAATATTTAGAAGGCAGTTGGTGTGACAACAGTAAGGCTTTTGTTTGTTCGTTTTGTTTTTTCATGGTTTGAAACTAAAATTCTGTGCCTGTGAAGCACCTACAGCAGAGGTTCAAGCGACCCTTCCACAGGGGCCTCCTGAGACCATCTGAAACACCGTTAAGAAATAGCAACAGAAATAATTCTGTGGGTGGGGGTCACCCCAACATGAGGAATGGCGTTAGAGGCTCCCAGTATTAGGAAGGGTGAGAACCACTGCACTGTAGTGTCTTCCCCTCTACCCCTGAGAACCACGGTTCTGCTTCCTGCCTCTGTGTGAGTTTGCTGCTGTAGGCACCTGACATAAATGGGATACTTTCATATTTGTCCTTTTGTGGCTGGAGTATTTTGCTTGGTATAATGTCTTCAAGCATCACAACTTCCTTTCGGAGGTCGATAATTTTCATACATTCTCTTTTCCTCACCCACTCATCTGTGGATGCAGAGGGTTCTTCTTTCCAACGTTCGGCTATTGTGAAAATGCTCCAGCAGCGGGTATGCACAGATGGTTCTTCAAAGTTGTTTTAATTTGTCTGTGTACGTATCTAAAAGTAGAATTGCTACATCATGCAGTAATTCTGTTTTTCCTTTTTGAGGAACTACCGTAGTTTCCTGTAGCAGCTGCAGCACTGTGCATTCTCACCACAAGGGCACAGGACTTCTCCTACGTCCTGGCCATAGTACTTGTGATTTTTTGCACCTTTTTTGTTGTTTAATAACAACCGTCTTAATGGGTATGAGGTGGTGAGGTGTTGATGCTTTGAGTTATAAGTGACTTAAGGACAGTGGCTTTTTTTTTCTTTTCTTTTTCTTATTCTTTTTTCCTTTCTGTTTATTTATTATTTTCTTTGTGTGTGTGTATACTTACTGGCCACTGGTGTGTCCTTTTGGGGAATTTTTTTCATTTTTTTTACATTTGCCTATCTATATTTTAATCCAGATGTTTTGCTGTTGCTGCTGAGTTGTGGGAAGAAAACAAAAACCTGAGATCACACAGGTGCCCATTATACTAGTCATCGTGAAGTGTAACATTCTCAGAGGTTCAGTGGCCTCTAGAGAATTGTACTCTATACTCGTGGGGGGGAATGTTTAAAAAGCCAGATAGCATATTGGTTTTATTCTGAAGACAGTTTGATTTTATAGTCTCTCCAAATGGCTGTTGGAAAACCCAAGGAAACTTAAGTCATTGTCTACAAAGCTCCGGAGTAAAGCTTACGCTAGCCCTTCATTAAAAGAAGTCTATTGGCAAGGTGACCTGCTCAGAAGGTTCTTGTTCTTTATTTGTTTGTGGAGAGAGGGCGGCGGCGGTCATGCATGCGTCATAGAGCTGTGTAGAAGTTAGCGGACAAATTCACCGGAGTCGGTTTTGTTTCCACCATATGGGTCCTGGAGAATCAAACATGAAACTCAGGTCATCCGTCTTGGTGACAGTCACCATTCCTTCACTGGGCCATCTTGCCTGGCTCTTTAAAAGGGTGTTAAAATGTAGAAAGTCAGTTATAAGTTCAGTAAATAATATCATTTTTAATATGAACTGAAAGATTTCAAACTCTACAGAATGGATTTACCAGTACTACCCAATGCTTTGAGACACAGCAGTTTTCTCTGTGTAAGCTTCAGAAGAGCCAAGGGAAGTCTGCCCTTGCTATGCGCACTGTGCTTCATACCGGCGCCTCTGGTTAAGAGCACTGGCTGTTCTTCCAGAGGTCCTGAGTTCAATCCCAGCACCCACATGGTGGCTCATAACCGGCTATAATGAGATCTGGTGCCCTCCTCCGGCATTCAGGTGTACGTGCAAATAGAGCACTCGTACATAAAAAAAATTAATAAATCAAAGAACGCACACAGACTTCTATACTAACATGTTAGGAGTCGAAAAGAAAAAAATGTAGATTTAAACAGATTTTCTGTGTGTGAAGGAAATTCTTCCTTGTATATATTCTCTAAAACAGAAAGCTGTGTCCTTTTGCCAACTCCCTTGAGACATAGATTGTCTTCTGGCACAGCCTCTCAGAGCAGGACAACTGTGATCAGTCCCCAGCTCCTCTGTCTCTACAGATCATGTCCACAGCCCACGGGTCAGATCTGTGTGTTGGTGAGATAGAAGATGTGCCGTCTAACTGCGTTCTAGCCTTGCTTTGTTTTATCACTGACCTTGGCACAGGAGAACTTCAGAACTCAGAAATGAGTACCAGCGTGGAATATAGCCAGATGAGCTGAATAATTGTTTGGTTTCTATTTATTTGTTTGTTTGTGTTTCGAACTATGTGAATGTAAAGGGTGGGTAAGTACAACTGAGGGAGGTTGCCTGGGGAGGACAGGGAGGGCATCAGATCCCCTGGAGCTGGAGCTGAAGGCAATTGTGAGCTGCTTGACATGGGTGCAGGATCGTGAACTCAGGTCCCGCAAGAGCGACGCACGCCCATCGCTGCTGGCGCATCTCTCCAGCCCTTTTATTCCTACATTTATTAGACATTTTTATCACTATTCTTTCCGAATGAGCTTTCATCTGTAGCATTATGCTGACATGGATAACGTATAGCTTTTTTATTATCTTACTGCTGTTTAGATCAAAACTGTTCTGGTTAGAAATCTTGCAGGGAGGTGGGTTCTACATGGTTCCTTGAAAAAAATTACTTTTGAAACTGTTATTGATAACGATGAAGACGTCCTGAGTTTATTAACTCTGCACAGTCATTTACATTAAAGACCTTTCTCCCCCCAGATTGAAAATAAGACCTTCCGAGTCCTTGGGGATCTTTGCAGTGAGGGAGGCTATTCCTACCTGAAGTCCTCTGTTGATGGAGTAGCCAGGAAATCCAAGTTCATCATCCTGGACAACACTATCTACCTGTTTTCCATGGTGATGTATCCCACTCTTACCTTTTCTTTTTTCTTTTCTTTTCTTTCTTTCTTTTTTTTTTTTTTTTTTTTTGATGAGGTCTCGGCCTACAGCCCAAGCTGGACTAGAACTCATGGCAATCCTCCTGCCTTAGTTTCCTGAGTGCTAGGATTGGGTGTAGGCTACCACGTCTAGGTCTGGTGATATCCTCCTTGGGGTTTGGGGGGAAGGAATTGACTAACCAGAAGCATTTCACTACCTTCTCTAGTTCTGTTTATGTTTTGTTCCCACGGACTCTCATTGTTAGACAAGACAGCTGTCTTTCCTGAATTCAGAAATGCTTACACTCTCCCTGTCAGAGGCTCTGCTCTCAGTGCTGGCATTCTCTAATACTTCACTCAGACTCATCCTGGAGTTAAGGGAAAAGGTGACCACCGGGAAAAGCAGTCTGGACTGGCTGCTGCTGGCAATAGGGAGGCGAATAGGCTTGGCAATCATCAAGAGAGCCAGGACAAGTTTGGCTTTGCTTTGTTTTAGAGCCTGATGACCAGTGCGTCCTCAGCCTCTAGCCAAAGGAGAGTAGACTGTCCATCAGAGAGATGGGACCGTATGAAGACCCGGTGTTTACGGTGAAATGGCTTTAGTGATTGGAGCTGTGCATAAAGTCAAGAACAGGCCAGCTTTCCCTGCCCCTCCTTTCTGTAGCCAAAAATGCTGTAAGAGTGCCAGGCTGGGAGGCAGGACACAGAAGGTAAGGTTGTCCTGGATCAATCCCTGGCCCTGCCACTCAGCAGCTGTGTGACCTTGTACGATTACACTTTCCCGGCTTTGGGTCTGCCATCCGTCACTTGACTAGTAAGCCTACCTACTGTGTAGAATTTTGACAGTTAAAGGCATAGTGTGTGTGTGTAAGTGTATAGTTCTTTTTGTAAACTGTGCTCCATAGTAAGAATGTCACTAAAAACCACTTCCAGAAAGGGACCGTCGAGTCACCTGCATTGCTGCCTCTTAATTCTTAATCCCCGGTTAGGCATCTATACCGTTCCCTTTGTGTCATGGGAGATGAGGCTGAGCAAGGCTGGGTAGCCTGTTGAGATCCCTAAGGTTTATTAGAGCCCAGGTGTCAATGACAACAAGTAGTTACTAATAACTTGGAAACTATCAACCCCTCAGGTGGACTAGTGAGATGAGAGGGTAAGATCTTGATTCTATGTCTGCTGTTTGTATAGGAAGGCAGTATTGAAATTGGCATTCCCGTACCCAAGTACTTGTCTCCAGTGAGTTCAGAAGGAACTCGGGGAGGTACCATCGCTCCTATGACAGGAACCATTGAAAAGGTAATGAGGGGACATCTGGGAAATGATGCCAGCAATGGCTATAAATGTCTTTTTGGAGTTTGCTGTATTCTTCCTTTGTATATCCTTTCCCCTCCTAAATTTCACTCATTAGAAAACACTTCAAGCAAATAAGAAAAATTGAGTATAGTGGTTCAATTGTCAATGTAAATAACTAATTACATATTTTTTTGATAAATACTACTGTTTTTTGGGAGGGTGGGGGGTGAGCGTGTATGTGAGGGAGTGCCTGAATTCAAACCCCACACCTGAACTCCACCCCAAGACTGCTGGGGGAGGTTGTTTTTGCGTTTGTTTGGTTTTTTTATGTGGGATGTGGGGGTATTTTGCCTGCATGTTTCCAAGGCCACCTGTGAAGGGTGCCCACAGAGGGCAGAAGTTGGTATTAGTGCCCATGAACTAGGTGGAGTCAGAGAGTACTGTGAGCTTCCACGTGGATGCTGGGAGCCAAACGGGGTCTTCTAGAAGAGTAGCCAGTGCTCTTTCCCACCGAGCCATCTCTGCAGCCTTGAGACTGCTATTTTGAAAGGAAGAGTTTACATCCCAGTACAGTGTGTCCTGCCCGGCGCCTTGAGCCTGTGATCTCAGCAACTTGGCACACTGACACATTCTGGAGGGCCACCAGAATTTGAGGCCAGCCGGGGCAAAAACGCACAACTACTGCTGATTGAGGAGCAGGGATCAGTGCCAGGGCATGTACGCAGCATGCTTAGGGATTTGGATTCAATCCAAGTGCCAAAGAAACGAAAGAGTCAGAGAGAGGAGGGGTGAATTAAAGTCCAAATACAAATAAGTGAATTTGTTTTCTTTTAACAGTGCCATATTTCCCAGGCTGGTCTTGAATTCCTAGGCCAAGGTGATCCTCTTGCCTCAGCTGCCACCACACCCAACTCAGAAAGTATTCCTGGGAAGGAAAATAGAATGCTCACCAAGAATTATCTAAAAAGTCAGTCTTTTAATGTGAAACTTAACAACAATTTTGTCATGGAATAATGAAATAATTGCATATTCATTAAAATAAAATTGTTAGGCGGGTGTTGGGGAGAACCATGTGGCTCAGGGTGGGGTGCCGGTAGGAAAGGAAGTTGTTTGTGTTTGTGGGTTTGAGGCAGGATTTCACTGACCTCAGACTTTGAGCAATTGTTTTGCCCTGCCCTCCAAGAGCCAAAGTTACAAGCACACACCTCCACACCCAGCAAGCCACAGGGTTGATGTCATCCAAGGGTAGAATCAGGTGACGTTAATTACTCTCTTAGTTCATTTGGGCTGTTAGCACAGAGTTCCATACACCAAGGACTTGAAACTATGAAGTTTATTTGTAGTTCTGGAGGTTGGGGAAATCCCGAGCAGAATATGGCTGTTGAGAAGCCTGCTTCTTAGTATCACAGCGGACAGACCATCTCCTCCGACATGACCCAAGGGCACAGGACCTCTCTTTGGGCTTTCTCTGTGATGGTGCAGCTCCCTGGTGGCCTGATCACCTTCGAGAAACCCTACCTCCAAGCCATCACCTTGGGTTCAGTATTTCAACATGAGTTGCAGCAGGATGCAGACATTCGTATGGTAGAGCCGGATTATCTAACTTCTGCGGGACAGATATCTGGTCTCCCCAGTACACTAAGTCATAATAATTCCATCGTGCTAGAGATGTGGCTCTGAAATAGAAAACCTGCCTCACGTAGAGGGAAGTCCTGGGTTCATTCACCGCACAGCAAGAAAATTAATTCAGCTATATATTCTTGGAATCCACACACACAAAGGAAAATAATCATTTAATCCACTACTTTCAACTCTGTGAGCTGAAGGACTTAGATCTGCCTTTAGGTTGGTCAATCTCAGTTCACCCCAGTCTCCAGTGAGGGATGACAGCAGAGAATATTTATCGTACATCTAAAAATGGGCGCACATTGGCTTCAGGAGGCCATACCAAAGAAGCATCACGAAGGATTAGATGATCTTTGGAGCATCCAAAGATGATTGTTGCTTGTGACTGTGAGATGCAACTCTCCTGGTGATGTCATTATAAACTGTTTAAAAACTAGATTAACTAAAAAGTACTGAAAAAAGGGATGTTCTTTTGATGGTGTTGTTTAGTTCTCTTATGAGAACTATTTACACGCTTATAACATAGACGCTGCAGATTTGAAAAACTTTCTATCATAAGCAACCCCTAAACTAGAAAACTAATCAGGACCTTCATCTTTTACCCTGTATGAAACATTTGTAAGTATCCATTCTTCCCTGTGTCCTTTACATGTACAAGGCGTCTATGTCTGTCCTGATTATACATTCATTGGGAAAAAAAAAAAAAACAAAACAAAACAGTTCCAAGTTATGTAAAATCCGTTCATCTGAATCAAGCACAGCTGGGTCCTGACCTAAAGAGACTAAGAATATACACACTCAAAAATGCCAGCAACACTGGACCTTAGCTGCCTCCAGTTTACCTGGTGTATCTGTCTGTCCTTGGCAAATAACACGGACCCGTAGGCAGGTGCTTCCATTCTGTTTGTTTATGTCCTGAGTCTGGAGAAAGAGAAGGAGCAGCGTTTTAATGCATCCCTCAACCCCTAGGTGTTCGTGAAAGCTGGAGACAGAGTAAAAGCCGGAGACTCTCTGCTGGTTATGATTGCCATGAAGATGGAGGTATGTGAAGTCACAGGTTCACTTGCCGTGTCAGCCCTGGGAACAGCCTGGCCTAGTTGTTGTTTGCCTTGTTTGATGGCTTAATGACACTTTAAATACTAAAGGTCATGAACTGGCTACAAATTAATTGAAAAGAGCTAAAGCTACCATCCTGCGGTACCTGTCATTCTGAACTTAATGAAATTATCGTCAGCCTATCCCAGCTGAACCCTCACGGTCACTATTCCCTCCAGCTGAATAAGGGTGACAAACAGTGGGCTGCCAATACTGCACTCACTTTGGAAGCTCTATAGACCTGCTTTCAGAGAGAAGTTGAAGTGACCTCCTCCAGGAAGGCTCAGGGATCAGTACTAGGTTGTAATTCTGGGGTTGGTCCCAGGGTCTTGTGCAGCTAGCCAGGTACACTGAGCTGCGTCCCGAGCCCTACTTCTTAAGCTTCCCACGTCTGACGTAGAACCAGGTTGACATTGCTAGTTAGACAAGAGCCTCCCACCCGTGTCCTCGAATGTGTTACTGCTCAGTCTTGACTCTTCTCAGCTGTTCCCATCTTCTCGGTGCCTGGAAATGTGTATAAACAAACAAACAAACAAACAAACGGCGAAACTGCAAAGTGTTAAAGGTGTTAGCTGTGTTCTCATGTTTGTCCGCCTCTCCTGGCTTGGTGTGTGCCTGGCCCTCACTGGCATGCCTGCCATTGTCTCTGTCCCTGCAGCATACCATAAAAGCTCCAAAGGACGGCAGGATAAAGAAGGTGTTCTTCAGAGAAGGAGCCCAAGCCAACAGACATGCACCCTTAGTGGAGTTTGAGGAGGAGGAGTCTGACAAGTGTGAATCATAATGAGCTGTGTCCATAAAGAAATGGCGGACCACACAGCATCTTGCCTGTCTGTGAACAGCAAGTGCCTCTCGAATCTCTAGATCCCAGAAAAAGGAGCTTTGTTAAATAAACGATGATGTGATTTACAGGAAACCCTTTCACACATACAAATTATCTCAAAAAATTTCATTAAAATAAGACTGAACCAGACAGTGGTGGCGAAGGCAGAGGCAGGCGGATCGCCGTGAGTTTGAGGCCAGCCCAGTGTACAAAGTGAGTTCAGGATGGCCAAGGCTACACAAAGAAACCCTGTCTCAAAAAGAAAGAAACTGAGCTGTATTTTTTTTTTAATTGGAAACTAATGTTTTCTTTAAATTTTATGTGTTGTACTCTTTTAAGAATAAGGTAGGGAGCAGCTTGGTCAAAAGTTGTGTGAATGAATGGCTTTCTGGTCGACCCTGGTGAAATTACAGTTAACATGCTTCAGAGGCAGGTGTCACACAACCAAGAGGAACTTAGTTGAGTGGCTTAGAATGTGAGGTTGCTTATTTCTAGCCCTGTGTTTGGGAAGTTTCTCTCCAGATACTTCTGCCATTATTGTGCATGTGGGGAGACCAGGAAGAGAGTGAAGTCTTGAGCGAGTGTGTGCTGTTGACATGGGCACAGCCATATCAAGGACCTTAGCCATAGAGCCAAGGAAAATGGCAAAGGCTCTGCTTCTGCCCAGATCCGCTTGGGTGGTGGGGGCGAGGAATGAGGCTCAGGGGAACTTTCAGCAAAGCCTTCCTCTGTTTCATGTACAGATATTGATGTTGTGTGCAAAAAATTTAAAAAAAAAAATGTGGCACTGTAGCCTTCTACCTCCTGCCCCTATCCAGGATGTTATCAGCCTGCCCTTCTGCAGAGACTGCTCCTACCGAGATCAGCTAACCTGTGGCTTTGGTGCGGCTGTGTCCCCCAAGCCTCCTTGTTTATCTGTATGCGATAACCCTGCCTCCTTGATCCACGCTATGTAATAAGCACTCGGAGCGTCCAAGCTGCCGTGGTTTCTCCATCAGACAGCCCAGCCCATCTGATCCAGTCTTCTGCCGGGTCTCTAGTACGTGTCTTCTCTTCATTCCCTTGCCACCCCAGTCAGGTCTTTCCCTGGAGCTGCGCTGGACGTGGCAGTAATGTACTTGCTAAGCGTGTCTTTTAAAAAGTGTTTGTATCATACTAGAACATTGTTTACCTTTCATTTGGATACATTTTTAAAACGTTTTACACAAGAGTGGATAAAAGAGCGGAGAAGACGTGTGATTAAAATGCCTGCACAGAAGCAAGAAGGACTTGAGTTTTGATTCTCAGAGCCCATGAAAATGCCAGGTGAGCGTGCCAACTTGCCGGTAATTCCACCATCAGCAGGCGGAAGCTGGGTCCCTGGTATGAGCTTGCTAGACCAGCCCTATCAGTGATCTCTGGGTTTGCTGGAGGGGCCTGCCTCACAGTAAGTTGCAGTGCAATGCAGGAAGATCCCTGACAGCAACTTCAGGCTTCTCCATACATCGCTGATGCAAGGGAATGGAGCTGGGCTAGCAGGGAGGGTCCCGGGGAGGAAGGCTGCGGATGCAGCAAGGCTCTGCACACACATATTTTGGAAACTTCTGACATGATTCTGCCCACCTCTGAGGAAATCATAGAGTCCTCACCCTCCTGCCCTCCATCACAACCTCCAGCCTCATGTCCACGCCTGCAGTGACTGTGCGTGGGTGCCTCTCCTCCCGGCCTACTTCCGGGGACTCCGCACAACCTTGCTGTCAAGGAAGCGATTCCAAAGGCAGTAGAGACACTAATGCCAGAGAGAGGATTGAGGGTCTGCCCCCGTCTGATCACGTGCCCTAGTTAGGCCGTCAAGGAGGTAACACAAAGCGCCGTCTCCCAACGAAGGTGAAGGCTGCCCTGACTGGTGCGGTGAAAGTTTGGTGGGCAGATAGGATCCGGCTTAAGGTTCAGGAAGGAGACCCTGGGGCATGAGGTGATGTGGGGGATATAGACTAAAGTGAGGAGGCAGTGGACAGGTCTCACTGGATAGTCCGTCTGTGATGTCCTGTGCCTGAAAAACTCTGCACAGCTGGAGGAGAGCTGCCAAGCTGGCCGGGCCACGTGAGAAAAGTGTGCAAAGGAGGTGAGGAAAATCACACTGTGAGATGAAAAATGGGTGAGGAGTGATTATACAGAACTACTTTTCAGCAAGGAACACAGTGATATTTGAGGGGGGAGGAGGGAAGAAATCTGTCTAACATTTAGAGCCTTTTTGAGAAACATGGACCGTTTTCTCGTGAGCAAATACTTGCACGCCCCCCAATCTAACCTACTTTTAGAAAGCTCCAAATAAATACACTGTGTACGAGGCATGTTCACGGTAATCTGAAATCCATTGGTAGAACATTAGCATGTGCAAGGCCAAGACACATACACAAACACATACATGTTCACAGCCTCATCGGAAACAGTTGTCAAGGAAAAGGGAGAAAGCGGTGAGGGCACACATTGGACACTGCAACAGAACAAGCAATTGGAGTCAGTGCTTGGTGACATTAAGCCTGTCCTTGGTGGCCTGACAACACAGTGTGTAGCTCGGCTGGGGAAGTAAGCTGTATTCTTTCGGATATAGTAAAAACACTACAGACCTCAGAGCTGCAGACAGTGGTTGTGTCCGGGTACCGGGCAAAGCCTGAGCTTGCTGAAGCAGGTACAGGCTATGAATGGTCCGGTTTGGCTGGGTGGTCGTTTTGTTACAAAGTTATACTTCATAAGGAGTTACATTTAAACCTTTTATAAATCAAATGTTACATTAAGATATACTTCAAGAAAATGGACTTTACAGCAGCATCCAAGCTGGGAGGAAAGGCTAGGAAGCCAGTTGGAAGTGTGAGGTAACCTTCCAGACCATGTAAACTGTGGCTTCTCCAACCGCAGTTTCATCAACAGATAACTTCCACTCCAAACAAGACTTTCTCTTTGATTTGTTTATTTTCAGTGCCCAAGGACAAACCCAGGACCTTGTTCCTGTAGGCAGCGGCTCTGACACTGGGCTGTGCCTCCAGCTCCCAAACTTTCCTTCTCTGGAAGAAGAAACTGCAAAATTTTTCTGAAGGAAATTTCTAGTTGCTACCTGCCCTCTTTCAAACAATACTGTTTAGACCTTCCGGTGGAGCAAAGGGAGCTCAAGGAACGATTATGCTTGTGATATGGGAATGTGTGCCCAGAGAGAATTTGAAGCCAGCAGTCCCATCAGCCTGGGGGTTGGTTAAGAACGCTGTCCATAGGCTCATGTATTCGAATGCTTGGTCATCAGGGTGTGGCACTACTTGAGAGGAATTAGGAGGTGTGGCCTTCTAAGAGGAAGTGTATTAATGAAGGTGGGCTTTGAGGTTTCAAAAGCCCAAGCCAGCCCCTATTCGTCTCTCTTCCTGCTGACTGTGGCTTCAGCTTCTTCTCCAGCACCATGCCTGACTGTATGCCACTATGCTTCCTATCATGCTGATAATGGACTAAACCTCAGATGCCGCAAGCAAGCCCCAGTTAAATGCTTTTCTTCTTAGTTTTACTACTACAAGTTTGATGACCAGAAAAAGGGACATGGAGCAGATCACCCTTCAGTTTTCATGTTATATGTCAGGACTTGAATAGCAGCAGACTAATCACTGACAAGAGGTAGATGTAGTGATGCATGCCTGTAATCCCAGCACTCTGAAGCAGGAGGATGGCTAGTTGCAGTCCTACCTGGGCTACATAGCAAGACCTCATTTTGTAGTTGTTGTTTTGTAGTTTTTGAGACAGGGTTTCTCTGTGTAGCCGTGGCTGTCCTGGAACTCACTCTATAGGCCAGGCTGGCCTCAAACTCACAAAGATCCACCTGCCTCTTGTGTGCTGGGATTAAAGGTGTGCACCACGGCTGCCTGGCTGAGACCTTGAGATTTTGTTTGTTTGTTTTTTTAAAGTAAAAAGCCCAAAGGGTGTAATGTTTGTTCTAGCAGAACAGAAAAGCATTTTATGGTTAGGCAATTAAGGTCTATATCACTTGAGCTGTTAAAAGACAGTGTGAAAACAACTCTATGCTGGTCTAAACCATTCCCAAATCAGCCTTCCAGCAAGATGTGCTGAATAAGAGGCACCTGTCTTCTCCTTAAGCCGACCTGAAATAGTTGCCTTTCTTGTTCTGTCTCACTTTAGTGGGCCTGTGTATGGCCAGACTCGATCTGGTAGCAGGCAGAGTTCCTTTAAACACACACACATATCAGTTCTACAGACGCCTGATGTTTGCCTCTGTCCCTGGGAACAAAGATGGGAGGAATGGCTTCCCTGGTTCTGTCTAATGGGAGGTGGTGTATCCAATAGGGAAAGGTAGTAACCTGTAGTAAGAGGGACCTAGGTAGTAGGTGCTAAGAAAACCAAATGAGTGGAAACATACTGGAGATCGAGACAGAGAGGGAGGGAGGGAGGGAGGGAGAGAGGGAGGGGACAGCCATTTGCTCTGTGGAGAACAGAGAAGGTAAAAGCAGGCTACTTCAGGCATAGGGACAAGCAGAGGCTAACAGGAAGGCGGGAAAGCCATGATGTATTAGGCAGAGTGCTCCAGCATGGGCTGGACAATGGGCTTAGCAGACACAGGAAGCAGAGGCCCACAGGGGAAGGACTATCTGTGCTTCAGTCTGTTCCTGAACTTTCTGGTAACTTACGTTTTGCAAGTTGTATGATGTACACAATCTTGAGTATACCTCAGAGAATGTGAGCTGGACACAGTTCAGAGGAGACCATATGGAGGGCCCAAGAAAGACTGAGGGCTGAGCTGGAAAGACAGACCTTGGTATATATTTGTTTTAACTTTTTTTTTTTTTTTGACTCTGAGACAGGACCTTGCTTTGTAGCATACCTAGTTTAGAACTCACTGTGTAAACTGTTGTGTGACAAAAGTGTTTCCTGGGGGATGCAACATACACATCTACTCAGCCTAAATAGAGACCCCATAGCAGACCAAGGTACAGACACCACCAAAGTCAAGCCTGGTGAACCAATGAGCTTTGTTAGAATTACTTACGGGAGTATGGGCAAGGTGTTACTTACAGGACCAGAAATGACTCACAGACAGCTGTAGCACCAAGACCCTCCCCAGAAAGGGTCACAGCTCACAAAAGCTGGGAACCTGGAAAACACTGCACAGCCTGAAGGAGGTTCAACAGGTTGGAGAGTGTCTGCTGTAAATCTCTTCCAGGCAACTCAGCTGGTTTCTGTTTTTTTCCCCAGGAAGCTGGTCTGGTCTCAGAGTTTTCTTTGCAGCTTGGCTTGTATGAGAGTTCTCTTTGGGTTTTAGATTAGATTGTTTAGTCTGAGAGTAACTCTGGCTGTTATTGCTCACTCTGGCAGGGAGGGGGCCTAGTGAATTGGGTCAGTTTTAGGAACTTCCTGAAGCTATTTTGAGTTATTTAACCTTTTTGCTTAAAAAGCTTCCCTGCCCATTGTAATGTTTCAATCTGGAAGGAAACTGTTACTCAACACAGACCAAGTGGCCTTGAAATTGTAGCAATCCTGCTGCCTCTGCCGCACAAGCACTGGTATTACAGGCATGAGCTATTGTATTTGTATTTGTTTTGTTGACAGGGTCTCTCTGTAGCCCAGGCTGGCCTTGAACTCATATCAGTTCTCCTGCCTCAGTCTCTCAAACGCTAGGGTTGTAGGCTTGAGACCTTACACCCAGCTTCGAGCCCTTAATGTAAAAGTAGTTGTTCCAGGCTAGATGTAGAATGCTAGCCCAGCATGCACAAGACTGGCTCCCATGTAGAGAGAGGAAGGGAGTGTCAGGGGTGGAAAGGGGAGCTAAGTTCCACCTCACTGGTTACTCTTGCAAACACAAGGGTGATGACAAGCCTTGGTTAGACATGCATCTGCCAGTTTTTTCTCTTCCTCCTTTGTCTCTAGTCTCTTCCAGTGACACCATGACACCTGTCAACCACAAGCAGATTACACAACTATCTAAGAAAACCTCCAGTGTTTGCCAAGCTGACATGTCAATGGACCCTGAGCTAAAGGGGTATCAGCGTGCCTAGAGGGCAGCTCATCTCTGGCATAAAGGCTGGGCCTAGATTTGTTCTATCTGCCTGTCAGCTGTAACACACCTGTAGCTGTCACTGGAGGGAAGCTGTTGTGTCTGGCTTCCGTCTGAGTGTGGGTGGGTATCACTCCTTTCCCTGACAGCATAGGGCTGTGTGATAGCTGAACTCATTACCATTTTTCTCTTTCGTTGTCAGGCCTTCTCAATCTTGCGCATGCACTGTGCTTAACCCTCAAAACAAAACCCTCGGGTATGCCAGAAGTTGCAATACAGCTCCCGGCCCTGCACTTGTGTTGTGAGTCAGCGTTTGCAGTGTTGATAGCAACACTTCGCACTTCTGTTGTGTCTCTCGTCAGAGGATCTCAAGAAGCACTTCTAGATATCTGTACAGTGCTTAAATTTTTCAGGAAGACAGGAAAAAAAAAATACACGGTTTGACTACGCGTGAGAGAAGAAAAGATGGAGGTCCCAAACACTTTGCTTTGTGCCTGTGTTAGCTTCATCTCTGTCGCTGTAATAAAACATCATGAATGTGTTTACTTGGGGCTTACAGTTTCAGAAGGCTAGAGATCGTGCCCACCATGGTGGGGCACATAGCAGCAGGTAGGCAAGCATGGCACAGGAGCAGTAGCAAAGGGCTACTCTTGATCAGCAGGCAAGAGGCAGACAGTGAGTGCTGGGAATCTTGAGGGTCTCTTGAAACGTCAAAGCTCACCCCCAGCAACACACCTTCTCTAGCAAGAGCACACATCCAAATCCTTCCTAAGCAGCCCCCCAACTGCTTAGGAATCAAGTATTCAAATATATGGGCCTATGGGGTCCTTTCTTATTCAAACTACCACAGTTCCCAATCGAGGAAACCCTTGGTCATGGTTGCCCTCCTGCCTGCACACTTCTGCTCACGTTTTCTCAGGTTGCAGCCATGATAGACCTTAAGTCCTACCAGGTACCCTGGCAGCCCTGCTCAAGCTCAGGCTGAGTGGAAGCGCCTTGCCCTTTCCCCAAGATCCTACAATGACTCTGGAGACATTATTCCTTCTGCACTATGGGATTCCCAAATCATCCTCATCGCTAGATATTTGTCTCACACCTTCTGCAATCAAAATGCCTTAGTTCCACAATCTCCCATAGTGTGTTCCCAAAGTACACACTGTCCTGACAACCCTGCAAGCCTCAGCAATGACATGAATTTCTTCTACCCTAAGTAATGGCTGACCCAATTCTTTGTATATGACAACCTTCATTGTTGCTTTATTAAGCCTTTAGATTGGGTTACATATAGTTCTCAAGGAGTTAGCTCAGTAACAGAGTATGTGGGTTAGCCTGTGTAAAGTCATGGGATTAATTCCTGGCACACACACCCCAAAGTGACTTAGTTACTTTTTCTATTGCTGTTTTAACATACCCTGACAAAAGGAGCTTAAGGGAAGAAAGGATATATGAAAAGCTTTATGAACCCAGTACTTCATTAGCTAATAATTTTTAAAAATGAAAGAAAGAAGGAAGGAAAGGAAAAGATAAAAAGGAAGGAAGGAAGAAAGAGAGAGAAAAAAGAAAAAAGCAAGAAAGAAAGAAAGAAAGAAAAATTAAGAAAGGAAGGAAGGGAACTAAATTGTGTTTCACAGCATGGGTGGACAATACTGGTTCCCAAGAGCAATCTCAGCAGGCATGGGGCATTCCCTGTAAGCTGTTGATCAAGGGGGTCCCTAGAGACTTCCAGATTAACACGGGCTATTGTCGTCACATGTTTGCCCACCAAAACCAGATGATAAGAGCCTCTTGTTGAAGATAGCACACACTTTGGTTTCAGGACTCAGAAGTTCATCTGGAAATGACCAGAAAAAGTCCTTCCTGCTTCTAGCTTTCATAAGGCCAGAAGGTGCTAAGGAAAAAAAAAAATTGGTCTTACACAGAGCTTGACCCTGTGTGCCACAACCCTGACATGCCAGGCAAGATCTGCATATTGATGTAACAGAGGCACAGATTTATAGGTGTGGCAAAAATTATAAAGGTAACCAAACATTTTTAATGGAATCAAGGCCTGTTTTACAAAAGAGAACTTGTACCTATTACTGTGTTTTAAGAGTCTCTATTGCTGTGATAAAACACCTGGACCAAAACCAAGTTGGGAGGAAAGGGTTTGTTTCATCTTATAGCTTGTTACCCATCACTCAGGGAAGGGTGTGATGGGACAGACCTAGAAGCAGGAGGAGTGCTGCTCACTGGATTGCTCCCCATGGCTTGTTCAGTTTGTGTTCTTACCCCAGGACCACCTTCCCAAGGGTGGCACTGCCCACAGTGATATGAGCCCTTCTAGATCAATCATTAATCAAGAAAATGCCCTACAGACTTGCCTACAATCCTATGGAAGCATTCTCTTGATTAAGATTCCTTCCTCCCAGATGACCTTACCTTGTGTCAAGTTGACATAAAACTAGCCAGCATATAATGAAAAGCTGGCCAAAATTCTATGGCTGGGGGTGTCGTAGGCTCAAAGGGAGAACTTACCACTTTTGTTTTGCTAAATGGTCATATTGCCAAACTATCTTCTAATATTTATAGATAGATGTAGATATAGATTAGATATAGATATGGATCTGTGCTGCTCTCAGCATCTGTGACAGAAGCATTGTATACTGGGTAACAACTACTGCAGAGACTCATAACTGGTCAGAGTGCTGAGAGTAAGTGACCGTGAGTGATCGACCCTAAATGGATCATTCACAAGAACTCTGTCCCACAAGGCTCAGAGAACATCTCGGAAGAGAGGAAGGGAAGAGTCTAAGAGCTGGAGGATAGGAGGAAATGTGTAAAATGTGGCCTTCTAGACAGGACATGACAGCTGCAGTCATGAACTCACCACAGCTGCAGTTACCTGCACAAGATCAAGGCAGTGAAAATTACAGCATGGACAGAAAAGGGGCACATGAGGTCTCACTTCTGGCCGAGCAACAATTGGCAGCTGCTGGACGAAGGGTCTTTGGGAAAGTGTGTTCACTGATAGGTTGCCCATGTGACAGTAAATGGTACCACACTCGGGTACATGCAGGCAGTACTAACGAACACGGGGTTGTGAGGAAGGAAAAAGGAGGGTGAAGGGGATGGGAGAACAAAGAGAATGCAGAGATGATATTGAAGTTGGAAAGGAGATGTGCTGGGAAGGGGGTCCAGGGAGAGTTCAGATGGGAAGAATGCATGGATATGATCAAAGTACATTGCATACATGTATGAATTCTTGAAGAATGAAAGTATCATTTATAATTAAATAAATGCAGAGAATAACCTTCTACCTACCTTAACTACTTCCCCCAGCAGTTAAGCACCATTGTTTCTTATGTATCCAGGCATTTTATACGTTCACAAAACAGATAGTGATGGAGTCTTATTTCCCCCATTCATAGTAAAGTAACAGTCTTTGCTGGTGAGTGTGCAATGGAGCCTTATTGAATTTTTATTTTGCATTTTCCTGGTAACTAAGGATGAACACTTTTTCATAGGCCTAGTAGCCACTCAGATACCTTTCTTGGTGAAATGTCTATTCAATACTTGTTCATTTTAAAGCTGAGCTTCTTACCTTTTGCCTGCAAAAGGCAATTCTTTATACATTCTGGGCATCCTTTATCTGACAGCATTTGCAGGTACTTCCTGTGGTCTGTGACTCATCTTTTCATTTTATTACTGCGGTCTTTGGAAGTGTAAAATTTTTCATTTTTGATAAGTCATTTTCTTTGATAATGAATTTTTTGGGGGTCATTTCTAGGAACTCACCAAACCATGAAAATGTTCTTTTGTTTTCTCCTAGTGTTTTATAGATTTAACTCTTATGTTCAGTATGTGATCCATATTTTATTTAATTATTCAGCACAGTACAAAGAAAAATCAAATTCATTCTTTGAAATTCCAGTTGTCCCAGCAGCATTTATTGGATATCATTTCCCCCACCAACTTGTGTAGATCCTTTTGTTTAAAATCAATTAAACATGAATGTAAAGGTTTACTTGGGCATTCTCAATTATGGGCAGCTGACTTATGCCTATCTTTGTGCCATTGCTATAATGTTTATGACTACTACAGCTTTATAGTAAGAGCCACAATGGGAAAGTAGAAGTTATTGGACTTCACTATAGTTTTTTCAGGTGGTGTTGCTATCCTAGGTCTTTTGAATTTTCATAAAATTTTCCATAGATTCAGTTTATCTATTTCTACAAAACCTACTAAGATCTAAGTAGGGACTGCACTGAGTCAGAAAATTAATTTGGGGAGGAAGTGCTGTGTGAACAACATTGCACATTCATGAATGTGAGATAACATCAGCTCATATCACCCTTAGCTTCTCTTAGCAATATTTTATATATAAATCTTATGTATATATATATTTATATATATTATATATAAATTTTTATGTATAAATCTTGCACTTCATTTGTTAAATTTATTCCTAAGTACTTTATCGAGTTTTTCTATTGGTTCTTTTTCTCTAGAGAACCCTGGTACACTAGCCTTAAATATATTGTTACAGCAATGGGAAATAGATTGATACAAATGGTGATACTAGACATACTTGGCTTGCCATTTTAGGGAGAAGTATTCAGATTTTTCATTTTTTTATTAGTCACCAATAAGTATAATGTTGGTGGTAGGGTTTTTCTTCAGGCCTTTTTGAGGTATGGAATTTCCTTTTATTGCTAGTTTATTGAGAAAAGTTAACCGTGATGGCTAATTTTGGTTGTCAACTTAAATACATTTAGAATCAACCAAATCAAAAGCATCTGGACACACTGTGAATGATTTTTTTTTTTAAATTTGAATTATTTGAGGTGAGAAGATCCACCTCACTTCTGGTACCACAATCAGCATTAGTCAGGGTTCTCTGAAGGAACAGAACTAATTGAACACACACACAAACACACACACACACACACACACACACACACACACACACACGAGAGACAGACACACAGACAGACAGACAGACAGACACAGACAGAGAAAAGGAGAACATTTATTAGAGTGGTTTACCGGCTGCAGTCCAGCTAGTCCAACAGTAGCTGGCTCCTAAAGAAAAGGCCAATAAATCCAGTAGCTGTTCAGTTTATGAGGCTGAGCATCTTAGCTGGTCTTCGGTCTATATTGAAATCCCAGTGAAGTAGGTTCTAATGTCCCACAGTAATGCCTGAGCAGAAAGATAGATACACCTGCCTGTGAGTGAGAGGGCAAGCAGGCAAAAAGCAAGGGCTCCCTTCTTCCATGCCCTTCCATGCCACTAGAAAGTGTGGCCCAGATGCAGAGTGGTTCTTCGTACTTCAAATGATCCAGTAAAGAACGTTCCTTCTGATGCATGCTAGCCGTTTGTGTTTCAGTTTAATGTCAAGTTGACAACCAAGATTAGCCATCACACATCACATAGCCCTCACATCGCCAGTGAGTGGAGACTCTAGGTTTAATATGGACCCTTGAACAGTTTTTTAAGGTGTCAAAAGTTCGTTTTATTGGTTGTTTGAAGCGCTTCTCAAAAGATGGTGTACTGAAAAGGAGCCAG